TGATCTGAATGTTGTGAAACACATCCTGGCCCTGGCAGTAACTAGGTCTAGACGCTCTACTAGGCTCTAGGCCTAGGCTAGAGTTTAGTCAATTAATAACGTCAGTAGGCTAGATCTAGATCTAGATCTAGATTAAATGAGACTCATTCAATACATTTGACAATAAATCTAAATATTACAAGCAAGTTTCTTGTGTTGACTCCTCGACAGAATAATCCATCTGCTTGGAGGAGTTTAAAAACAAAGTTTCACTCAGTTTCAGTTTCAACGATGACACTTTCCTCCTTCAACTTCAAGTTCAAGTCTATTTGGTGAAGCAAAAAAAATATCCCTAAAATAAATGTACATGTATGACTGTGAGCTATCTGGAATATATGGATAATCTTGTCCGTACATTACAATAAAGGGTCAAACAACGTCATGTTATTGTTTCCCCAGCTAGCTCAGCTCAGCTCATCTCACTGCATCATGCACATGCATTGTCGTTCACTCACTTGAAATTAAATTTGATCTTGATTCATTTTCACATCACAGACATTCATAATTAATTACCGGTACGTTGGTTCAAATCTTACCTTGGGTTTATAAAACCATTTTCGTAATGCTAGCATCCTGATTCATTCAACAGATATTAAAATAGATAAGTCGAGTAAAGCACTTTGCTGCAAATTTGTGTCCCAATTTTGTCGTACAATTACAACCTCACTCGCTAGTGTTTGTATTCGTGAATGAATTGATATGGAAATTTACGGGTAAATCCAGTGTATACGTAGTACGTGTGCGTAATATACACGCACGTCACATATGTACACAAATTGAGTGTGTACTGGCGCGCCCAGTTGCCTACATGTCACCGTCGGAAGGAATCTAGACAACTCCTCCCCCCAAAAAATCAACAGATTAAAGGTTCAATAAAATTTCGCCACTCAGAGCTTCGTATTTATGATTTTTAAATTTCGAGGGATTATGTTTTGAAAAGGATCATTTTAAGTGACCATGAATTTTCATCAGATGATACGAAGTCAAATTTCTAATATCATTACTAGTAGTATGCTTCATTAGCCGTTCGAAATGTTATTTAGAGAAGAATATTAGTCTATTGATATGGGGCGAAATATTGTTGAAAGAGTTTTATAGTGTAGAGATGTACGAGCTCTGACTGCTGCTGCAGTGTACATGTGAAAGGTGTTTATTGTTTGTAAACAAAATACAAATGTAATTGTTTTGGATCTTTCAGCGGACTGTAAAAAAGAAGGAAAACAAAGATACACACTGTTCAACCATAGGTCTATGGTTCAACAGAAGATTCAACTTTGTTTAGATATATTGCAAATATGTTGAATATGCCAAAAAGGCTACATTTATGGATCCATGCAGGGCGAGATGGGGGGGGGCACAAGGTTCACCCCCCCCCCCAAAAAAAATATATATATATATATATATATATATATATATATATATATATATATATATATATATATATATTATAAAAGAGAAGATAAGCTGAACAGGAGATAAAGAAAAAAAAAGAGGAGCCACTATTTTTGTGTGTGTGTGTTTGTGTATTTTGTGTTAAGATATGCAAGTTCATAATGTGCCTACGCCCCCACCCAGCCCCCCCCCCCCCCCCCTACCCGTCCCAAGCCGGATCCGCTACTGGTAATATAGGCCCTACATTTTTTTTACAAGAATCACCAGTGACTTCACAAGCTTGTGATGTTTTATGATGACTTGCAAGAAACCCAATACGGTCATAAATGCGATGTGTAAATATTTACCTAGTAGTATTAGAATAACCCGGCCGGCCCGCCTTGCTGATATGATTGCTATAGGACTGATATTATTGACATTAGACCACGATCGAGTTTGACCCTTAATTTTATTCATTGTGCATGATGAAATCGATGTGCAACTTTTGTGAGAAGTTACAATTAAGTATGGTGACTTGCTTTTTACAATAAGCACATGCGAACACGGAACGATAGTAAATTACAGACTGCCGTTAAAAAAAACAAGAAAAAGAAACAAAAGATTTACTTAGGCCTACAGTAGGCCTCAAACCCCTCAAAAGCTAAATGTTCAACTAAAGTATTCTTATATTTTTGTAGGATGACATTGTATAAACACATTCAAAAACGCAGTATGGCCATTATTTGCCCAACAATAATATTATTTAGGAAAAAAAGAAAATAATTACCAGATAGAGGATCGGGAGAAGGAGGACGGAATCCAATGTAGACCATATAGGGGCCGGTGTTTAGTCTATTAAAACGTTGATTCGATCTTAAAAATCAATACCTTAAAATATTATTGATGCTATAGTGAGCTGTTTCATCAAATCAACTGCTTTTAGCTTCACGTAGATATTTTCTTCTGCTGAAGAGTGGCCGGGGGGGGGGGGGGGGTGGGGGGAGGAATTCTTTGCACATTTTCATAAGCCTTTTCAGTCTAGGATATTGCGGAGAGGGTAATGCACTACTGACACTTTGCCCATCGGTGTGCCCGGGCTGCGAAATTTTTATTCCCAAACAGGTTTGCAATTTCTTATATTTCCGTTCTTCTCAATGGCTGATATGTTCTACGTCATTAGCAGCTTGGAAAGAGCTAGGTCACAAACAATCAGACTTTGATCTTGTATAATTGCTTTGCCTCACTATTTATAAAGGCAAAACAACTGATTAAACTGAGACTTGAACCCACAACTCTAAAATTGAATTACGCTGATCTTACTGATTGAGCCAACGATGGGTTAATGAAAGGTGATTCTGCATGATTTCTATAACCCTATCACTTACCCTAACGGTTACGTCATGACGTGCTAAAGACGTAGCATATCAGCCAATCAGATGACCGGAAATATTAGCATTGGCAAACCTGTTTGGGAAAAAAAAATTAGCGGCCGGAGGAGGGGGGGGGGGGAGGTTCTCAGATTTGGTTTGGACGTGGGTGCATGTGCCGCTCAAGCCTCGAAACCCCTATCCGTTATTAGGGGGCATTTTTCTCGAAAAAATACCCATTTTACAAAAATTTGAAAAAACGGACCCATTTTTAATGGTATTTTTGTTAAAAGTGGGCCCCATATAATATATGTTTAGGGATTTTTTGTGAAAAAGTCACCCATTAGAGCGGCACACCCCCGTATGGCCTAATATGTAAATACCCGACCCCCCCCCCCCCCCCTGGGTCGGTGTGCCTGGTTTGCCTATTTACCCGGCATGGCAGATAAGGAGAGAGGAAATGAGGAAGAGTGAGAGAGGGAGAGAGAGAGGGTGGAGAGAGAGGGGGATCGAAGGGAGATAGAGAAAAGGAGGGAAGGAGAGAGAGAGAGAGAGAGAGAGAGAGGGGGGGGGTAGAAGGGGAGAAGAAGAAGAAGAAGATAGGAAGAGGAAGAAGAAGAGGAAGAGGAAGAATGAAGAAGAAGAAGAAGAAAAGAAAAAAGACAAAAAGAAGAGAGAACGGAGAACGGAGAGGGGAAAGGGGAGAATTCGAGTTCAAGACGAAGTGGGGGCGAAAGAGAAGCATTGGTACCGGGACTGGTACAAACAGGAATCACACCTTATGTTTACCCATTCATGTTTGTATAGGGCCTATATTAAACGAATGGCTTCTAATCGATCATGACTTGAAAAAGTGTTATAGAAATCTGTAACATAACAAGTTTTATGATGAATTATGATTCAATAATACATCGATTTTTTTTCTTGGTAAACATACCTACTCTGCACTCAACATCACCTTATTTTCTATTAATTGCCTCAACCCCCCCCCCCCCCTCTCTCTCTCTCTTCTCTCTCATAATACTAAAATTCATATGAAGAAGATCTAATACAATTTTTGAAAATGAAGGTTCGTCATTTTAAAACCAATTGAAGTCACGAAGAGATATGTCCAAACATGATCCTAAATGAGAAGAGTAACAAAAGTCAAATATATTTCAGGATTGTGGTCGGATGTACGTATTCTTGCCAACCAAAATATTGACAATGACGGATCCTAAGTTTGACCAAATTAACCAACATAATTTGTCATTTAGATCAAAGATCCTGATTAGACACACTTCTATTAATGGCAAAGGACAGAATTAATATAATTAATTCTTAACATTGTACAATAACTCAGTTTTTCTTTTGTTTGTTTTGGTTGTTAACGAATTCAGGAGCTAAACCAAAAATTACAATTTTCTTCTCTTTGCTCTAAACATTCTTTAGTCAATTACTAAAATCTGCTCAAATTTAAAGCTTTGATATTCAAGCTGATAATTCACCCCCCCCCCCCCCCAAAAAAAAAAATCCATCAAAATTTAACTTTTGCAATTCACACCCTCTTGTCAACACATCCATGCTACAGAATGAAGAAGGTAACAAAAATAACAGAGACTGCCACCCTTTATACTACATGTATAATACAATTGTTAGGGCGTTTTAAAAAGGGCATTTTCAATACCCAATGTATTTCCCATCAAAATCAAGTTTGGATAATATGTGAGATATCATTGTGAAGGTTTTACTTTTCAAAAGGGGTGATGCATTAGACCCTTCCAATTGCCAATAGGTCGTTTTTTAAGTCTTTGTGTTTTCTTTTGAATTACAGATTTAGAATAGTTGCAGTATTTGCAATTTCATACTTTATTAATACTATCATTTTTGTAATTAACTACTGCATTAAGGTTTCTTTTGGGAGAATTTAGGGTACCTATAAGGATATAAGTGAAATCAATTTCCCTTTTCTTCCTTTTTAAGTGGCCTACGGTATACATATATTGCATTAACATTTGTTAAAACCTTTCTCATTGCGCATGTCATATTATCATATTTTGTATGGGACCTATTCTTCACAAGCTTTGCATTTCATCAAGTTTCGTCAGCTTCCACTAAGGGCGTGTTTATGCTTAACTATACGTATACGTATACGTATGGTATTGGAGAATATGTAAAAATCAATTGCACATACAGATTAGAAATACATGTATACACAAACAAATCAACATCAGACACCATGTATAAAATATGTACACAAATCTTTATTTACAATGAGTTTGTTAGCTGGCAGAACTACAGCTAATAAGGCTGACATAAATAATTACAGCACTTTGAAAGCACATACATTTACATAATCACATGGATCATTATCACTTTCACTTTATCACTGGCATTCAATCATATATTTTTTTGGCCCAAGTTTCAGTTTTATCTAACTTCACGGATTGTAACATAACATGTATATCGTTGTGCCGCTGGCAGATGGTCCGAGCGCATTGCGTCATTCTGCGAAACGTGCAGGTGACTATTGCATTAAATAAAAGGCTGTTAGCATTAAAGTGCCTGTAACTCCATAATTATGTGCTCGAAAGTACCACAAAAAAACTTCTCAAATTAGTTAGTTACAATACATTCTGGCTTTTTTCTTTGTCAATAAACACAAAATTCCTGTCATGTTTAAATAAAATGGTACAAGAAGTATAGAGCCATCAATATTTTAGAAGCAAAGCAGAAATTTGCTTTATAACAGAGTCAACAGACATGTGTGCTAACGACATTCTGCTAGTTGCATGCAGATATTACATTGCAAAAATCTATTCTAATTTGCCTCCAATGCACTTAAATGAAATTCCACTGATAATAAGTTATTGAGTTTTCTTTGTGACCAAATGGATCGTAGAGAAATGTAGGCCAATTTGAAGCATTTTACTATAGACAAGGTGCATTGTACATCATGCCACAAGATAAATGTTTTATCTATGATAGGTAATCAATTTAAGTATTGTTGTAATCATGCATGCAACTCTGATCACGAGAAAATACAAGTGACACTGAACAACTCTCCAAATTGCGTACAACTTTTAGGCCTGTAATGAGTTATAATAAGATGAACATTAGGAAAGATTCATGCATTTTTAAAAGAAGACAGTAAGAAATCTGGGGCAATGTTGTTTTCTAGAGCTACATCATGACATACATGTTTATGTATCAAAATATTGTATATAACCATCAAGTGCAAATTTTCAATCTTGCTATTGAACCAGTTTCATATTTCAAAATTATTATCAATACTGTATTATCAACACTCAATATCATATACATTGTACATGAATATGTTAGAATTACTACAAGATACAAGTATATGTAGGTAACATTTGATCTCTTTTCACAGGAAAGTTATAAAATATGACTTTACATGAGTACATCACTGCATGTCAGCGAAGAATCCTCCATGTTCAACAGTGGAATGGCAGACATATCAACTCAATTTCTACCAAACTACACCAAATAAGTTAGATCTAAAAAGATACCTTATTACATGATCGATTTTATCATCTTTTTTTATTTGCTTGTGACATCAGTTAGATTTAGGGGCAGTGAAGATGGATTTAATGCCAGAGAAAATGTTTTCAACTGATGTTCTGAATATGCTCTTGCTATGATGTTAACAATGAAACCGTTGAAGCAAAACATTTTAGAAGAATTATTTAAGTTATAGAATTCATAAATATAGAATTTGATCAAAGAATAGGGGGGGATGATAAAATTAAATCATTAATCGATAGAAAATTGTGACTTTATTCTATCGTAAAGGAATATGTGAACCTAATATAGATTGTGCTTATATGTGATTTAAACATTGACAATATATAAAACACAACAAAATAGTTGGACAAAACTTCAATGCATGATATTCGATTGTACATATTAAAGACTGGGCATGAACATACTAACATACTTTGGGTCATCCTCATTGGTATACATTTGAACAATTTTCACAGAAAATATTTCTCCAAAAATGTCAATGAGCCAGCATTAAAACATAAATATTTTCTTTCAATTTATATTCAGACAACCTGCAATGTATCTAAAATAAAAAAAATCATTGTAATAAATGTATCACATAACGTAGCAAAAAACTTCCCAAGTCATACAAGAAGATGATTATTTTGCATTTGGTAATGTGTTGCCAAGTTTAGGAATTGAATGGTTAGTTGGTTTCTAGAACTATACAGTGTAACCTCAGCTCTTGTCTCTAATGCATGGTGTGTAATTTGTTGTAATAAAAAATTACATCACCGTAAAGAGGTCTTCTTTTTGTATTAAGAAGTTCAAGCAACACAAACACATCTTCAATGAATGGTTATGAGAATGAAAGTATTGATCGTCTATTCACTTGAGAAACACTCATTAGAACACCCCGCAAACTACCATATCATACAGGTATGTCGAGAGATATAAAGGCTTGCTCATGACATCTCACAAAGTGCCCTTCCAAACTAACATTTCTGACAGGGGTCTGGATTGCAATATTTTTGGTCTGTATGCATGAGCCCCCCGTGACATTTTCAGAATTTGGGGGTCTATCGAAATTCGGGACCATTCGGGACCAAAAAAATGCCCTTCCCGCTCGCTCTCAGGATACGGTACATCATGTATCAAGGTGGGCAAGACTGATGAAACAGTGATAGATGGAAATGACGAAGTGGATGGAGGGATAGAAGAAAGAGAGAACAGGTAGAGAAGAAGAGTAGAGGATGGATATCAACCCGATAGATCACTAGAATCAAATCTTTCTTGGTCATAGATCTCTCCTCGTACCATCCTGCCTCCGAACCATCTGCTGTTGAGCGAATCAGCTGCTTGCTCGGCTTCTGTTGGGCAGAAAAAGGAAATAAAACAAGAACCGATGAGATACAGTAAAGCTGATGAAATCTTGGAGTTAAGAGGGTAACTAAAAGCCCCACCGTACTACTTATATCTACATGTGCCCTCTATATAGCAACAATGCCGTATTTTTTTATTTTATTTTAATAGAGAGCTTATTTGATTACATAACAACCTGTCAGTGACCCATGCAGGGAGGTCTAAGCCCTCCTGGCCAAATTAGTGCGGTGGGGCTTTCAATAACTTTCCAAGTTATTTAAAGCCCCACCGCACTAATTTGGAAAAAAGCCTCTCATGAAACAGTAAACGATATCTTATGAGAACAAAATAAGATCAAGTTATTTGGATAGATTTCATGTCTGCAGGAGAAACCAAAATTGAAAACACAAAGATTCCAATCATTACTCGGAAGTGTTCAAAATCAAATTAATATTATAAATATCTTGTGTTCCTACTAACCTTATTAGTTGAATTGGTGCTAATTTCATCCTTTTTTTCCATCCATGTTTAAAAATGGAACTAAGATTACGTATTTATAGTAAACTAAGATAATATATCTCTTCTTTTCATTATTAGGACTACGATTAGATTTGTGGCACAGATATGAGCAGAGAATATAAGAAGGCAATCAAAGTTATGGAGGAACAATATCCTTTATTGATTTTTTATTTCTGTATAATTATGCCACTGGATATGAATTTCGAAGCAATATCAACAATGTATGTTGGAAACAACATGTGGTGACCAAACTGTTTAGATTTAAGCAGTTTTACTATACACAACAAACACCACACATCAAGTCGGTCAGATAATGTGTGGTCAATCTTTGTTTTGGTACAAGGGTCACTATTTTCTACATCGCTCGCTTTATCTTGTTCAAACACGACTAGGAAGTTTAGTCATGGTCACCGGGTAACACTAAAGGACACTGCGGAACTGATAGCACACAGGGGGATCTGACGCAATGTTTACAAACAAACTGAAACCTACATACATTATCAATGGAAGTGTATGTGTAGTATTATGATAACTTATTAAGTGCATTCCACAGGGGCATGCATTCTCAAAGTGACCCTGTTCTTAAAGGAAAACAAACCAGGGCAGGTGAAGACATCTGATAAAGTAATGCCGTTTGATGAAGTAGGACAGTTCAACAGAGCTAAGTCAAATATCAACTCCAAAATGACTATACAAAATTTGATCAAAAGAGAACCTTTGTTATGCAAATGTTCTTCAATCTTTATAAAAACATTGACAACTTGTTCATAATAATCTAACACATTTCCGAAGCAGAAAACAATGCAGTGACGAGGGGGGGGGGGGGTCGAGAAACAGAGAATGTAATAGGGAAGGGGCTGGAATATCTTTTTGAACTTGGAGATAGGGCACACCTGTTCCATCAGTGGGGCATGTTAGGGGCATGTCCACAGGATTATCCTCTCTTTTAGGTTTGTTGATACTCATACCACATGGTGTAAAACAGTCTATTCTTAGATGCTATCTAATCTTCCGCAGCCATTGGCAAACACTAGTAACTCACTGGTAAATATCACTGCTAACATGCAAATGTTTGCATAGGGAGTGTTATTGATTCAGTCCAAAGAACAAAGATAATAACTAACTGATTAAGTGAAGTCCATTCATAAACTTTAAATCTCCCTGTATATAATATTTTGGTTCAGTCAATATTTCTATTTTGGGGTGAGAACCTCCAGAAGGTAGATGAAGTCATTGACCTTTGTACCCGACAATCTATTACAATTGCTTACTAATTTAGGTTTGCAAGTTAATCGTATAATAAAGGCAATAAGCACCAAAGCTGCAGTTAATATCTTCTTTGTTTGTTTCTTTTTAATGTCAAACCCTTGTTTAGTTTTTGCAAGCCCTGCAATAGTTTTTCTTTGCATATTCCTTTCATTTCGATAGATTGCAAGACAATGATGATTTTAAGCTGCAGGGGAGATTTTCCCCCTTCACTTAAATATCATATTAATGAAAGTTGAAAACATGTTCAAACATCTGGGCCCCGTCTTACAAAGAGTTACTACATCAATCGGAAGTCCTCTAATCAATCGCAAGTCTGCAGTCTCCTATCTCTTATGTACATAGTTGCGATTGATATTAACTCTTTGACAAAAAATCCAGAGTTTTCCTTCATGTTTAATACCAACTGTTGCATCTTTGCAAAGCGGATTTCAAGTGAATATCTTCTTGTAATTTTCTGTGTCCTAAACAAATTGAGGTTATACTTGATTTTTCATGTTTTTTTAATACTTACCATTACTTTATATAGGCTATGAAACATCCTTTCAATATTAGTATAAGCACAAAGCTCAGACAAAAAGCCATTTTGATATCAAAGATACACTCATCAGGTGTCCTAAGTAAAGCTAAGTCATCATAGCTGTGCAAAACCAATATGTTGTGAAGGTGTCATGGTTCATTCAATTGGCTCTCAATCCAAGGGGTGAGGTTTCAAATCCCAGCCCGGCACTAATGTCCTTTTGCAAGATATTAATCCAAATTTGCCACTTTCCACCCGGATGTTAAATAGTACCCAGTAGGATGTGAAAGTCATTGAAATTTGCTCAGTATTGTGAGCATCTGTAAAATGGCACCTTACTGGAATGCTAACAAGGGAGTGGAGAATGTGTATAGATTGTGAACAGGCAAGCCTGGATCCGATGACCTTGGTAAAAATCTATCTGTAAAGCGTTTAGAGACACGTAAAGACCATTTTCCTTGTCTCCCTTCAGGGGTCTTTATCAGGAGTGATAGTAAGGACAAAAAAAAAAAAGTTTTTTTCTTTTTCACAACCATCCCCCCCCCCCCCCTTTCGAGGGAGGAAATTGGGAAAAAATCAGGACAAATCAGGAAAATAGGGGTAAAATCAGGAAGAAAATAAATAAATGGGGTAATTATCAGGCCTTCTTCATAAACAGGTTTCACTTTAAAACTAAAAAAAGAAACTAAGATCACCCTATTCTTACCCGCTGGATCTGAGAATTCCACAAAGATTTTAACGATGACCTCTGCATCTTCCTCCTCTCCTTGCCTCTCCTGGTAGATGACCACCCTGTTGACTGTTCCAAATTTTCCACATTCTTCCGTCACCTCTCCTTCTAGTTCATCGTCTAGGTCCTCCACACCGACCATGTTGCGCAATACCATCACATGTGACTGCAATTAGAATACGTACAATGTTACTTAACTTTAACTTAAGTGACTCAGTGACATTGCCTCAGATTCTGAAACAGAATCCTGGATTCAGCTTATGCTGCAATCATAATTATAAACCTTTAGGTCAGTCAGGAATCCTATGACTTTTTACAAGTTGTCTGATTATCAAGATATTTATGATTGGAAATCAAAATTTCATTTTTCGTTTTCCTAACGATTTTTATAACACTACAGTCTATTGGGGAAAATGAGTATGTCAAAACCGGTCACTGAAAGATTTTTACTTTTTTTGAGGCACTTCATGATCATTTTGTTTAGGGCTTCAATATCACACCATATCACAGACACTGGTAACACGTAGGGCCATGCATCTCAGATTTAACATTGGTAAACGATGCCTTTAATCGTTTTAGCTTAAAGTAATAATTAATACTAATTTTCTACAGGTCTTTCATAAATCCAGCCAAAGGGTGTAAGCAGATTGCTCAGACAAAAAGCCATTTTCATATCAAAGATACACTCATAGGTGTCCTAAGTAAAGCTAAGTCATCATAGCACTGTACACCATTACCGGGGGGGGGGGGGGGGGGGGGGGGGAGGGGGTTTCAAAAAGATCATAAGTCGAACTTAAAGATAAAGCCCAGTTGTGGTAATGCGATTGCATTGTGAAAGAAAAGGTGTGGAATGGATCAGAAACAGTTGATCATGTAGCATGTAAGTATTGGTGTGCACTGCAAGGTTCTGGAGTCGTCAAAATCATAATAAATTTGGCCGAGTCTTGGTAAAGTAACAAGCACTGTACACAGAAAGCTATATATGGGACAACACACATGGTGTTGGGGCTAGTACTACCTTGATTTCCTTGTCATTCTATGCTCATTAGTCAGCCAGTATACATTTTCTTCCAAAATTGTTTGGCACATTTCATTTATTTGTAATTTTGAACATTCAGTGTAAGTTTCGTTTGATTCTGTGAGAATTAATTTTCTTTTTTTTTACCAGAACTGGAGTTTATCTTTAACTCTAATTTGTAGTCTTAAAATGAAATACATTCAAAAGCAAAAATTCAATTATTTTAAACTTTACATGAATTCCACATCAAGAACATAAAATCTCCTCGATAATAGAAATATGAATGATTTAAATCAACATTTTATGCCTTTTAAAATAACTTTTACAAAATATTTTCAGAGATACTAACAGCTTTCCATAATTGCCAAGTCCAAATTAGAGATAAGTTCAACTTAGGACCTTTTATACTCCCCTGAACTGCCTCTGTACAATCATCTGGGTGTATGAGAAATAATTCAGAGGAGTTAATTAATTTGAGACCTAAATTGCTACTTACATCTGATTTTCTGAGTAATTTCTGCATGACCATGTGCCTTGCGTTGCTGCCTGATATCGTCATGTTCTCCTGCTCGCTGATGGTCTGTGGAAGCTCCACGTCTTTGATCTCTGCCGGTTCCTCCTTGACTTGTTCAGCGATACCTGCTGCTGCGGCTGCTACAGCGGCCATCGCCGGAGCCATCAGGCCAGCCGTCAAGCCTGCCGTCATCCCAGGGGCGGTCGTGAGGACACCTGGAGCTGCTGTGGAGATAGGGAGCGTAGCAATTTGTGGTCTGACAGGTGTCACTCCTGAGAGGGAAATGCATATCACATGGATACAATATATTGATAGACTACGGAGACATGTTTTGGTAGCTGTCGTTTGAGTGCGCTAACCCTTTCGTGAAGAATAGCTTTATTTCTCCTTTTGTTTGCAACAGTGGCATAAGAAGATATAAAAGGGCAATAGACGTGTAGATGATTATCAAATCTACAGCATTTCTAATGCTTGTTTTCTCTATTACTCTGCAAAAGAGGGTCCTCAAAGGGAATCAGTTATTCAAAAGTTAACTATAGTATTTACCTTCAATAAGTGAGCAAATACTTTAAGAATGTTCCCTCACTCACCTCCACAATCCACTAGCCTCCAAACTCTCTTTCTCCCTCAACTTATCCCTTTTATACACCCTCCATCTTTTGTCTTTTTCCTGCCTCCCTCTCCCTCCTGCTTGTTCCCTTGATCACTCACTCTTCCCCCTCCCCCTTTCTCTCTCTCTCATCTTTTAATCCTTTCCTTTCCTATCCCTTGCTCAGCATATCAAAAGTTACCCAGGAGACCCTATGGTTCTTTTCACTGGATGATATTTAGAGGATTATTGTCATGCCACAGCGGAATCACAGAGATTATAAGACCCAGCACACTGCTTTAACGGTGCCTAGCCATCAGCTGTTTAAGTCCCCCCTAGGATGCAGATTGCTCAGACTCAAAGCCATTTTCATATCAAAGATACACTCATCGGTGTCCTAAGTAAAGCTAAGTCATCATAGCACACCGTAAAGCATGAACAACCATACTATTAATGCAATTACTGCTCGAAGTAGGCTCTCATAACATAATTTCCACTCACTGGTGCTAAACAAAAGCTAGGGTTCAACAATGACTGACATTCATAGGGTCTGATTATTATCATATCATATTTCATTCATTATCATCTATTTATTTATCCTTTTTTTTGGGGGGGGGGGGGGTGGGTCTAGAACTAAAATTGGGCAGGACATTTGCTCCAAGCCCTTAATAAAACAATTATTCCACTTCTTAATCAACCAGACACCTACATTTGCAATCAAACAATCTTAAAGGCTAGTTAGAGCTTGATTAATAATCAAAAGGTCAAACTCACCAGTGATAACTCCAGCCGCTGAACTAGCCATGACAGCATGGGGCATGCCGAGGATACCGACTTGAGGTGTGGCCAGTAGCCCTGGAGCTGCTGTCAAGGTGGTAGGGTTGATGAGGCTGGTAGGGGCTACACTCACCATGTTCATGTTCATGGCTGCTGGTGCAGTCACAGCGTCTAGGGCCTAATGCAGTCATCAAGAGAGGGAAATTACAAGTTATACGGGTAAAAAATAACCAGAATTAAATTAAAGCCCCTCCAAAGTGTTGGGAGCCCGAATTTGATGGCAAAATATCACTCAAATTGTATCATAATGGGCAAAAGGATGTCATTTAAGACACATTTCTGCAAAGATTTCCGCCAAAAAATATGTTTGAAGACAAATATTGATAAAAGAATTCATATGTGTGGGGCTCCCAACACTTTAGAGAGGCTTTAAATGTAGACAGCTGTACGGCATGGTCTTGAAATAAGCCACACAGTTTTTTTTTCTCAACAAAAAAGGCTCATGACTACCTCTTAATACATAGGATTCAGTTTACTTCAACACATATTTACAATGTGCTTGAACCCAAGTAATCACATCATTTTTACACTGTCTTTGATGGATCAAATTTTAACAGAATAGAATAGAATTCAATTGAGTTAAAAATACATTTTCAAATCATTGAATTGTCAATCTCTGAAACTTTCTTTACTAGAATCAACTTTCATCAAAAATTGGGCTACATTTTTTCCTTTCCAGTAGCACAGTATTAAATTCATCACTGAATTAAATTGCTTAGATATTTCCTGATCTAAAAGTACTAGCTTTTGTTTCATATCTATGCTATGATAATGCAAATGATGGTGTATGCACATTGCTCAGAAACAAAGCTTTTTTTCATATCAAAGATACACTCATAAGGTGTCCTAAGTAATAGCTAAGTCATCATAGCAGTGCATTACGACTCCCAACCATAATCCTTATTGTCCAAAAGATACAAATGTGGTTTTAAGGACAGGTGGCCTTCATGCACAGGTTGTTGCTAAAGCTACTATTAATGTATCATCCACATTACCTGTATCTTAGCTGTAGCAGCAGCTGCAGCAACGGCAGCAGCTGGAGGAAGACCAGAGCCCCCAAGTATCGTAGGAAAACCTGTCATCGTTGAAGGGGTAATAGCCTGTCAAAGAGAAGGATGAGCTCTTTTAGAGGTGAAAAATAATGAGCTTTCTCGTTCTTTTCACTCCCATGAGGATGAATACCAAAGAAGCACTTACCTATGAATAGACTTGCTCTTAAAGAACTTTCATATTTCAAGTGATAAGAAATTTGTTGACGACTTGAGATCAAATTCGGAGGCACATGTTCATGTAATCCCACATTAATTAACAGTTTTAGCTCAAAGTAATAATTAATACTAATTTTTTACAGGTCTTTGATAAATCTAGCCAAAGGGTGTACGCAGATTGCTCAGACAAAAAGCCATTTTCATATCAAAGATACACTCATAGGTGTCCTAAGTAAAGCTAAGTCATCATAGCACTGTACTGCATTACCAGAACTGCCTCTGTACTCATGCCTATTATGTTTACCTTTCCCCCAAAAAAATTGATTTGTCTTTTCTTCATATGATTCTGTTTTATCTTTTGTTTGTATTATAATTTGTGTGTTTTATTCAGTTCACAGACTTTCTGAAAAACAGCCCTGTAGGCTGAAGCAAGTTACCATGATTAAATAAATAAATGAAATGAAAGGAAACTAGATGGAATTCGACTGCGCGCAGTCGAAAATGATGCCTCCGTTATAGAGCAACTTTACAAACCAAAACAGAAAAAAAAAATTGAATTCACGTTCAATGGTAATCCATTGACAGGTTCTCAGAATATTGTGATTACAAGCAATTTCTCATATACATATATGACCCTTTGATCTTTGACCTCATGACCATAAAATCTACTCAGTTCATTGGCTCTGCAAGATGTTCTGAGTTAAATAGTAATCCATCTGTCAGTTCTAATGAGAATGCGTTCACAAGCTATTTTTGCATACATAATGGGCCCATGACCTTTGACCTTTGACCTTATGAACCAAGAATCTACTCAGTTCATTGGCTCTGCAAGTAACAAACATGACCTAATTTTGGCATGAATCCATCAATCGGTTCTTGAGATAACGCGATCACAAGCTGTTTTTGCATTCATAATGTGCGCTGTGGCCTTTGACCTTTGACCTACGTGCTCCAAAATCTAATCAGATTGTCTTCCTATGGTGATACACACTATCATTAAGTTTGAAGTTTAAATCTCCAGTGGTTCTTGAGATATTATGATAACAATCTCAATGTATGGAATTTCATAAGTTGACCTCTGTGACCCTTGACCTTTGACCTACGTGCTCCAAAATCTAATCAGATCGTCTTCCTATGGTGATACACACTATCACTAAGTTTGAAGTTTAAATCTCCAGTGGTTCTTGAGATATCATGATAACAATCTCAATGTATGGAATTTCATAAGTTGACCTCTGTGACCCTTGACCTTTGACATACGTGCTCCAAAATCTAATCAGATCGTCTTCCTATGGTGATACATACTATCCTTAAGTTTGAAGTTTAAATCTCAAATGGTTCTTGAGATATCGCGCTAACAAACTCAATACAAGGAATTTCATAAGTTGACCTCTGTGACCTGTGACCTTTGACCTACGTACTCCAAAATCTAATCAGATGGTCTTCCTATGGTGATAAATACTATTCCCGAGTCTTAAGTTTAAATCTTAAATGGTTCTTGAGATATTGTGATAACGGTCAAACGGGACGGACGGACGTACGGACGGACAACCCGAAAACATGATGCCTCCGGCACCACCTTCGGTGGCGGAGGCATAAAAACGAATTGGAACCCTAACCTCAATCCTCTGGCTTTGATAAAATAATACCCAGAGCAATTGTAGCTGGAGCAAATGGAAGAGCACCCACCCATCCAAAATAGGCTACATCATCAATTCTCAATTCCAATGGGCACTTACCCTTCCGACTCTGAGGAATTGGCCACCCAGATCAAAGAGGTTCATCGACGAGATGGCATCTGACGCTGACTGCATACTATCATATTCAATTATTCCATGACCCCTAAAGGAAGAGAGGAAGATGAAGGTGAAAATAACACTTAACACATTGCCTGGTGTCCCATGTATTAAGCCTATGGAAATGAATCCTTCAGTAGTTAAAGTATTGAAGGGATTGGGTATCTTTGCCTCAGATTCTAGACAAAACCTGGATTTAGCTCATGCTGCAATCATAATTATAAACTTTTAGGTCAGTCAGGAATCCCATGACTTTTACAAGCCGATTTTCTGAATGATTATGAAGATATATGTGATTGGAAATCGAAATTTAAAAAACACTAGTCTACAGGGGAAAATGAGTATGGTAAAACCGGTCACTCAAAGGTTTTTTAAAACTTTTTTGAGGCACTCCATGCTCACTTTGAAGCACAATTTTTTTAAGGCTTCAATATTACACCATTTCAGAGACACTGATAACACGTAGGGCCATGCATCTCAGATTTGTAACACTGGAAACATTGTTTAACGATGCCTTCAACCCTATTTTAACCGGGCTATTTCAGACCAGGTTTCACAGCCGATCGCCGCCAAAATTTGCATGCATGTCAAGTGAAGTGTATAGAATGCTGTGGTAATTTCATTTTTTTTGAAAAATTCACTCATTTGTGCAAATAAGGTCATAAAGTTCACAATTTTACCCATAAATCATATATTATTCATATTCAAGCATTCTTTTTCACAATATGTATTCGTTAGTCCATTTGGAATAATGCTACGACAAACAAAATTGGAAGAGTTAGGTTATCCCTTAGGTTATCTCTTGTTTTGATGTTTTATCTCTTTTTAGGGAAAATGATATTTCCATATGTTTTGTACACAAGTCACAAAAATGAGCGATTTCGGGCTGGCATGCAAAGACAAAATGTCACGTGACTTTGTAACTATACGACCGATTAAAATTGTTTTAAAAGATGAGAAAGACTCGAAAGAAAAAAGTCATGAAAGGAAAACTTGATATCTGCCGTGGTTCCAGAGAAGTCCAGAGAAGCTAAATTACAGGGGGCAAATTGACCCCCCCCCCCCCCCCCCCCCCCCCCCCCCGGTTAACATAAGGTTAAATGGCTTCCCCTGAATGCATCTTACACTATTCAGAAAAGGCAAGAGGATATTTCAATAACTCTGGTTGACACAAACTTATAAGTTACATTAGTGAATCCATATATTTCTGAAATTGTTATACACCAAGAAGGGGGAAGGTGTGAAATGATGGCATTAAATTAATGGTCTAGTTTGTCTGTAGGTCTAAAAGGAATGAAACATAAAACATCCATCAGCTAATTTATTGATAATCTGAAGAACATGAATACTTGAATAATTTAGTCAAAATCTGCTAATGATGCACGCTAAACAAAAATGTATTAAGTAAATACATATAAACCTGTTTATTATAATACATTGAAAAGAAGAGAGAAAGAAAGGGACTTACTTATGTTTTCCTCCTACAGAGTCTGATGGTAGACTACAGGATATAATTTTACCAAAGGCTTCAAATACACTGTACAAGAAAAAGGAGAGAAAATTGTTTCATTATGAGTTGATCAAAATTAAGAAAGTTCAGAACTGGGTGAAGGCTAATTTCCTCTAGTTCTTATTTCTAGGACTATAAAACATACCGGTAGACATGATAGTCAAAGCTTACAGAACAGCTTGGACCTAGGCATGTTCAAGCTTCATTACAACCCAAAATTGTACCTTCTTAATAATTCAATTCAATTCAATTCTCCACAAATGCAAAACATAGGGAGATACAAAAAATAAAATACATGCATACAATACAATAATAGAACATGTACATCATATATAAAACCACTCTAGTTGGAGCAATGTATGTTTTAAAAAGAAAAAAAAGGGGTAGTCAAAAATAAAAAAATGATTTATCGAGGACTATCTCTAATAATACAAAAAAAAATTAAAATTAAAACTTAAAAGTAAATATTAAGTAAAATTATGAGGTGGTACCAATAACAAGAAAGAAGAGGGAGAAAAAAAATAAAAGACAGGGAAAAAAATAATCAATGCAACAATTAACAAATTCCCCGAGTGCAAACATTAGCTCAAGAAAACTGAAGCACTTGGAAACAGTACTTTAATTAAGTAGTGCCTTTTCAGGCAGCCTTGCACATCGGAAATTGTATATTCTTTGCTTGCATATTCTTCTATGTCTGTTGTCATCACTTCCATTCTTTATAGTGCTGTGAATTTTGTAATGGAGGTTGGAGAATAAAGGAAAATATTGACAAGGGAGAACAACAAACCTTTTGATGTCCTCAGACGAGAGATCTGAATGAATGGATGTAATAAATATCCTAGGTTGGTGTTTGGCCTCTTCCATGATTGCATCTACAACCGGCTGTGCTTGAGGCATGTTGCTGGGTCGACCCACCTACAAAGACAAACAACCAAGATAACTGTTAGAGTCAATGGAGCAGTAGTAGGTTTCGGTACTTGGGATTATATTCATCATGGAGAATTTCTTGGACATTGGTTCACTTCATACGACTACTCTGCACAAGAGGGTCCTCAAAGGGAATCAGTTATTCAAAAGTAAACTAAAGTATTGACCTTCAATAAGTGAGCAAATACTTTAAGAACGTTTTCTCACAATCCCCTAGCCCCCGCCTCCTTCTCCCTCGTGCTTGTTCGCTTGCTGACTCACACTCTTCCCCTCTCCCTCTTTCTCTATCTCTCTCATCATTTAAGCTCTTTTCTTTCCTATCACATTGAAAGCTTCACAGGATGATATTTAAAGGATTATTGTCGGAATCACAGAGCTTATAAGACCCAGCACACCGCTTAACGGTGCCTCGCCATCAGCTGTTCTAAGTCCCCTCCTGGATGTAGATTGCTCAGACTCAAAGCCATTTTCATATCAAAGATACACTCATAGGTGTCCTAAGTAAAGCTAAGTCATCATAGCACACTGTAAAGCATTAACAACCATACTATAAATGCATTTTGTAATTTGTTGACAATTTTGTAGTTCTACTACCAAATGCAGATAAATCTAGTAAATTTAGTAAATATACTTGGTCTTGGCCAGTTTAGTACCATTGCCTCAGGGCCTGTGCCCCTTGGGAAAGTGTGCTACAGTCATCTCAACCCTATAGATTAAAATAGAGTCTCTCGCGAAAGTGCTGGTTTAATGCTTTTACATATTCTAAAGCAAATATAATTTTTGTTTGGCCTATAAAATTACATACAAAAGATAGTTTTAAAAGGGGAGGGGGGCATTTTTCCAAGGTGGATTGCGTTACTTCAATTGGTCCTCAAACCGTTACCTTGATGTTCCTGCCACCGATCATGACGCCATTCATCTGCTCCAGGGCCAGCTGGGCAGCCTCAGGCAGGTCGTACTCCACGAAAGCAAAGCCCTTGTGTTTCATGGTGATGGGATCCCAGGACATGTTAATGCTCTTGATAGGACCGAAGGGGTGGAAGGCTTGGCGGATCGTGTCCTCCTTGAGCTCAAAGCTGATGGAACCCACGTACACCCGGCACATCAGGGCAATGGCGCGCTGCCTCTGGGCCTGCATCTGAAGGTTCGACATTTGCTGCGGGATAAAGGAGAAAAGAAACAATAGAGTTTTATTTTATATTCAGAAGATAATATATTTTATATTTTAGATATTATATTAAAGATAAAGACCAGTTATGGTCATACGATTGCATTGTGAAAGAAACGTTATGAAATCGATCAGAAAAAGTTTATCATCTAGCATAGATGTACTGCAAGGTTCTGGAATCATCAAAATGATAAGAAATTTGGCCCAGTCTTCATAAAGTTACAAGCACTGTACACAGAAAGATGTATATGGGACTACACACACGTGCGCGACACATGCGTTTTTATCTCACACACACTAATAGATAAACTAATTTATCAAATATATCAATTAGAAGGCGGTTTCCCGGCAAAATTTTTATCATGTAACAATTCAAAACATGTTCTTTCACATGATTGGTAATAAGAGCTTCCATTTCATTTTTTGAAATTGGGCTGTTTCCAATACTGGTCTTTACCTTTAAGAGCAAGCACCATAAGCAAGTAGCCATCATCATTACAATCATAACTATATTTCTTTACCATTGATCCACACTGATTTAACTTTGCCTTGCAGGGTTATAGAGGTCTAATTTGTATGGCTAAGCAAGGGCAAAGGGCAAAGTGAAATTTTCCCTTTGCTGTTTCTTCTCTGAAGTTCCTTTCACTTAGCACATGTACCTCTAGCATAATTTAATGTTATAAAATATTTACAAAGCGGTTAGGTTTGAAGTTAGTTTAAGGGATAGGTATAATGATAGGTCCAGGGCTGTAGTGAAGGTCAATAATCATTGCTAGAATTGACCACCAAGCAATCATGATTCTTACCTGTTGCTGGTGCGCTAATGTCTGTTTGACCAGCACGCTCTTGATGCTCTGCTCCATGGCATACTTCTTAGACTTCATGACAGCCTCCTGCTGCTCCGCGCTCAGCTTGGGTAGCCCCATCATGGACGGCATCCCGGGCAACGCCAGCAGGGTCTCCTTCTTTGCACCAGGGCCAGCGAGCACCGGCCCCGTCTGCTCTGCAAACTGGAACTCAAAGCTCTGCAGCGATGGTGGTGGAGGCGGCGTGGAGGACTCCTCTTCGACTGCGAGGTCCATGAGGGAAGCTTCACCATGGAGGGAAAGGGATAACAGGAGAGTGTTAGAGACCTTCTTGTGAAGGAGAACATGATAGTATGCACTGTGTGGACATGCTTGCCACACCACTGCACACCATCAAGGGGTCATGCCCTTAAAAAAAAATCTACCCCCTCCCCCCTTTTTTTTTCTTCTTTCAAATTCAGCAAATTATTAGAATAGAATGAATCTTTTATCAAGTGTGAGAAAACTTAAAGGCTGAATGATATTTATCCGTTTTTCAGATGCAAACATAACTGGGTTTGAATATTCTATTCCCTTTCGTTTCTGCTTGGCAAAAATACACAAAATACTAATGAACAATCATTTCATTATTTAAATAGTTTTTCATCTCACAATTCATTTACGACCAAATTAGCTTCTCTATACATTGTTAGAGAGATAGAGCTTGCTTATCTAAAATTTCTCAATTAACCTTTGAACAACCAGTGATTATACCAAAAACAAAGAAATCCCATCTATTCAACAGAAAGAGGTCACAGCAGACAAAATACAGTAAAGGAAGTCATTTCAAATGCTTCTTTCATACCGACGCTTGCCACAAAGAAATGAAAGAGAGAACAATGGCATAGAGAACCGTGGCAAACGTCTATATGTAATCCACCATTCTATACAAACAGCACCGTTTGTTTACCACTAGAGTAGCGTTAAGGGGTGGTTGGAATCGATAGCTGAATGATGGGTTGCGGTGCAGCATCGGGTCGATATTTTTTTTTACATGGGATCGGTCGGACGGTCCGAAGAGCGCAGAGGTCAGCGACCTCACTGGCCATGGTGGATTGCTTGTGGGTCGGCCAAGGTCAGAGGTCATATGTTTACATACAACCTCATCACCTCCTTTTCACACATGCTGCTCTAGCTGAAGCTACATGGCATAAAATAAAGAATAAAAATGCAAAGAAAAAAATACAAAAGACAGGGAAGAAAAACCTTGAGTCAAATCCAACATCAGCAAAAGACAAAATATTTGCAGGAAAAGGGGATAATGCTTCCTATGTTTGGCTTGTATGGCTGGGCTTACAAAATGTCAAGGGGTCCAATTTTCAGTGATGGCACTTACATGTTAATGGACCAAGCACTTACAAATTCAAGAATCACCAATGCTACTCTTCATGGTACCTAATGTTTATTTATTTGCTAATTAGAAATTTTTACTGATCCAGTAATGGTAACATTCAAAATATGTTCTATGTGACATCTACATTCTGGTACAAATTCCAAATTAAGGTTCTCTGGTTTCTCAGAAAGTAAAATTGTATACAAATTTTGTCAATCTACATGCAGAAGGAATATGACAGCAATGTCAGATAACAAATGTATCATTTCTAAGAGTGGCTATTTGGGACTCGCAGATTGAACTGCTTCTTTCATTAAGTCTATCGGAAATCTCTTAAAAATTTGACCAGGGAACAGTGAGGCATATTAAACTGTAAGGGGATTCAAGATAATAAGCATCTTTGTTGCAAGTTCTGCTATCAAAGCAATTTCTATTGAGGGGGGATGTGGGAGAGGAGGAATAAAGAGAGTAAAAATGTGATGATGAGACATCTCGGTCGCTCAGTTCTGTTAGCTGCTCAGAAAGACAATGCGTCACTCCTTGCTGGTTTTGCTTTTATATGCAAATAAAAAAATGACCAAAAAACAAGAGAAGAAACACATAGGTTACGATACATAGGGCCTTTAAGCAGGCCAATAACCTTTCTTTAATTCACCTTCCACATCAACACACATTAGCTTCGAGATTAAGTAGAGATTTCTTACAAATGATGTTCCCGACATTAAAATGTTGGGAATAATTCCGACTTTACTGCCAATTTATATCCTGATTTTACGTCAACAAAGAGGTGTTTCTCCATCATATTGAACAACAATTGATGCACTTATAACATATCACATCATAGTATTCTCCAAACACTAATAATAGTGAAATCCTTAAAACTTAATTCAATTATCTTTTCCCCTCACTACAACTTTCAGATAATCCTTTGCAACTATGATTGTATAAATATATGACCTATAATATCTGAACATGCAGCAATAAAAACAAAGAAAAGTTGTGATAGCTTTTCTCCCTACTCTATCAAAATAGTTGTTTTACTTTTCATTTTCTTTAATGCACACATTTCAGAGTGCCTCATCGCACAGCCGCCTGCGTCAAGTGCACGGGAATAGCTGCAAACCTGGAAGAATAACGAACAAGGAAAGAAAAAAGAGAGAGAGAAAGAGCAGAGCATTTACAGTGGTCTAACATCCATTCATGCCATTTTCTTTCAAATCATTGGCATACTAACGTGTAGGTTTTACCTTTCATTAATCTGCATATACATGTAAGGGTGTGTGGGACAGTACAAGTTTATTATTTCAGGAGACACTTATCGAAATTGTTAAAAGTGAAGGAAGGGATGAATGAATTATGAAGGGTCTGCAGAAGAGGATAAAGCAAATAGAAAGACTGTGATAAATGGAGTATTCTACATGAAAGGAGAATGGATGGGCAATCTGTCCATGAAAAATACATATTGCCGCCCCACTATAACATTTTTTTTTTAAATAAAAAATAATAAATAATAAAAAAAATCAATTAAATAATTTTCAAGGAAACAATTTGAGAACTGGGATGCAAACACAAATAATGTTGGACTAACATGAGAAACAGGAGGGGTTATATCTATCAATTCAAATCTACATTGTTTCCTAACCTTATTCATGCACCATTCCCAAGTTTTTAAGAGGATGTGAGTGATTTTTTTTATCATAAAGTAAGTAAATCTGCCACCTTACAGCATTCCTAACAACAGTTATTTATACTACATGAGATTCTTGTATTCCACGATGTCGTTTCTGAGAATAAAACCCATTCAGTTCTGCTGCCATGACGATGCTTTACCAAAGCCTACGAAGAAGAAAACTCAAAAACAAAGAGAAACAAAACAAAAGACAAATATCAGAAGCGATTGAAATGATCGTATGAACATCAGATGTGTTTATGGTTAGCTAAGGAGTACTGGTCAAATGCAAGATGGAAAAATGTACGAAATCTTAGGAAGATGAAGTTTGCAAAAGCTTTCAAGGTGGTTCATGTCACATTTTGACCTCTACTACTGTACATGTAGTTGTTCCAACATAAAAGTTTCATCCTATCACATTAATGAGTTCTGTCTCCTGAATTTTTGCGCCACATGGTCGCACCAAAAAAACGATTAAAACTTTTAGTTCTAATTTTCAACATTTCGTTGATACAGTCTTTTTTTTAAGGGGTTGTCTACACACCAGTATTGAGCCACACATACACACACAGTCATACAACAGCAGAAAACGTTCAGAAAACGTTTGAAAGCAAAACTGAACCAAATGGTAAACAAAGAATTTCTCACCATCAGAACATGTTCTTTCATGACAGCACAACCAATGCACCTTGGAGTCATTGCTTTGATTTTCCATGTTCTTGTTAAAGCTATTAATCTCTCATTTTAACAGAAATAATATAACTTGGCATTCTGGTGGGTTAGCTACATTACTCAGAAATTTCTTGATGATAATCCCAGCTTTCAGATGGTGAAAAATTGCATGTTTACCACCCCATGTTTGCAAATTGACATGAAAAGTCACAATTTCATATGATCAGTTGCAACATTCAGAATAAACAATTACATGTGTAATGAAAAAAACTCGGCTTAAACTTTTGCAGAATGCAATGGATCAATCATTTAAGTGTAACATGGCAACAAAACTTGATATAACATTTCTTCCATAGAATTCATTATATCAATATTACAGTGTCGACTAATCCAGGAAATATATGTATAGAATGAAAGAGCAGTACAAATTAAATTCACTCAGTACTAGGCACGTGCACAACACACTCCATATCACTCCTGTAAACCCCTACACGTTTTTGGATTATTTTTCTCTGAGGACAAGTTTTCAGTGGAGTATACCTAGCCTCGTTTCAGATTTTGCAAACTTCATGTTCCTGCATATCAGGCAGAATATACCCACCAGGTTGTGTCTCCAATTCCAGCTTGATCTTCTTGGGGGATGGTTCTTGCATTTGGATCTCTTCCACATGGTTCTCTTCCATCAGGGCAACTGGCTCCTGTCAAAATAGAAATAATCAAAATAGATAAAAAGTTATAAGAAATAAATAGCCTTGAATTTAAATCAACCTCAAGAATCTATTTTATCAACAACAAAAATTGATCAAAGATGAAAGAACATTTATCCATTAAAGCCTGTCTGCACTAGTTTGGCCAGGGGGATTAGACCTCTCTGCAAGGTCGCTGACAGGTGGTTATCTCATCAAATCAGCTCTCAATTAACATAAGAAAAGGGGATCATGGGGACCAACAGGCACTGATTAGGCATTGTTTGCTATATAGAGGGCGCAAGTAGCTGTAAGTAGTCTAGTGCACTGGGGCTTTAAAAAGGCAATGTTTACTTTTCATTTAGCCTTAGGATAGGCGCGTGCTGGCGATGCGAAAAACGGATTCTGCGTAATAAAATATCCCTAATTCACCGTCTACTTTATGGGTTGTCCGTCTTCCCGAGGATTTATCGCTCCTAAACCAGTATGGTACCTGGTGAGGGAATGAGGATGGGGATGAATGAGGACAAATTGTGTCCACAAAAATAAGGATCGTCTGCATTTTTGTGGACTTTTTTTTTCATCAGCGCTCTGCAGGTTTTGGGTTTCCGACCACGCGCTGGCAATGCAAAAAAAGGATTCTGTGTAAGAAAATAACCCCAGTTCACCGTCTACTTTTATGGGTTGTCTGTCTTCATGAGGTTTTTTCGCCTAAATATGAAAAGTCTCTGTACAAAGTCAATCACGGAATCCGTTTCTCGCATCGCTACGCACGGATCGGAAATCAGAATCGTCCGCGTTTACGAAGACGATCCTTATTCTCGGGCCAGCCTATTCCCTCAACATGCAAATTCCAATTATGATTCCCCTTGTTTGTTCAATTTTCAAAGCACTTTCTCGATTCAAACCTGCTTGCATTTGCTGCAGCCGTCTGCAACCTGCCTTGGCCTGGATTGGGCCAGCATGCTGCACGCCAGTACCCACATGATGCACAGACACAGTCAGCACACTACACACACACACAGCGTTAGCCGTTTATACATTCACTCACAATGCCAAATCAATGGTAGTCCACGTATTTGAGAGAAATCGAAGACTCGACTCTCTCTACTCTAGTTAAATTCTTCTCATTTTCTTTCCTTTCCAAGGACTAATTTCCCTATTAAACCATCCTATGTTTATCTACATATTACGAAATATATATTTCAGGTCGATACTTACAGCATCTCCATTAGTTTCTGCCATTATGGTAGTCGTTCCCTCTTCGGTTTTGCATGAAATATGAACTGTACATCAAATTTATCGGGTACCCATTCGCTCGTCTAGCTGCATGCGTTATGCGTTCGTTCAGCTATCTAGCTTGGAATTAGTTTGGAAGCAGCGAATTTTCGTCTTTTAATTAATTGAATAGCGCCATCTCTTTGACCTCTGCTTTTAGGATTCTGTGTTGACGAATTTTGGCATTGCAAGTGACAAAGTCCGGGATTACTTATGGCAAATTCACAGGCAAGTATAATTTATTAATTATGTAAAATTGGCATACGTTCCTGTCTTTCCTGTGAAGGTACAAAGATCAACTTTATTAGAATATAAACAGGCTTGGGTGTCATTTCTTTAGGGTAAAATAGTTGTTGGACAAGTACCATTCGCCGGTTTATTTCGTTTGGTGCGTAGAAATCTATACCCGCAGTCCATGTACACGTTCAATGCCTGCATCTGTGACTGTGTGATAAGTGAGTGAAGTGCGATTGTGAATAAATGAATCGTGATAGATTGTGTAGTTAGACGGAGAGGAAGAATTGGACAGTTGAATTTTTTATTGCATTGACTGTGGCCTGGCTGGATAACTGTTACGCATTTGCACTTGTTCTGGAATGTTGCAAAAAGAAGGAGAAGTACTCCGAATTCCGAAGAGAAAAAAAAACCAGCAAAATTCCTTTTAATTAATCAGGGTCGCTGGTCCGAGAATGATGATCGTCCGCATAAACGAGGACATCATTGTAAACGTGGACAAATTGCGTCCTAAAAAATAGGGACCGTTCACATTTTTCGTGAACGTTTTTTTCTTCATCGACGCTCGTTGACGATCAGCCATGCACAAGAAGACGAAAGACTTGATGCATGGCTGATCATCAATGAAACGAAGTTAAGCCTTTTGTCCACTCTGTTTGTTGCTACAGCAGGCAGCCAGTGAAAAACAAATTTGTTTAATCAAATTATGGAAATGCAAGCATTACTTTAAACAAACAGAACTTTGTTATTCCTGGCTCATTTCTCCTGATTGAGGTGTCATATGAAAGGGCAGAAATGAACTTTCTAGAAATGTGATTTTCTCTTTGAAATTCAGATACCACCCACCAAGTGACTTTTTGGTACCCTCTCTTCAAATTGTATGTTATCTTTCATGCTCGAAATATGCATCATATGAGTTGCATCAAATGAAAGAGGAGGATCTAAGCTTTACAAATATGTGTCATTCATTAATTATAATTGTGATTAAGTTATGATAAAACATCAATAATTCTCGGTTTAGTTTTTCTGGGAGGCACTGTATAGGGCACATTCATACAGACTCTCAAAAGTTCAATCCGGACCGCCATCTATTCTACCATTATTCACCCTTCTCTCAAACTGTTCTTTTTATTTTCCCCCTTTTATTTAGGGTATAGCAATGGAGAACATCACCAGGCAACTCCAAGGCAAGGTCTTCATCCAGAGAGACTACTCAGAAGGCACAGGAGTCAAGTTCCAAACAAAGCTTCCTCAAGAACTCACAGATCGGGTAAGTACCATGTAAACCTGGGGGGTGTTTCACATAACTTGTCGTCAGTGACAAATGACAGTTTGTGTTATAAGCTACTGAAGTCCTTGCTTCTGATTGGTCATCAGCAGATTTGTCACTGATTTTTGTCATTTGTCATTGAAAACAGGCTGTGTGAAACAGGTCCCTGTTGTATGACATGTAGGCTCTGGCAACGATTACTTCGCGGTCAATATCCCACACTGCAAACTGAAGTCCCAACAGTGGACCGAATGCTATATCTCCTGTATCCTTAACCTTAACCCTAACCTTAACCCTAACCAAAAACTCAATTGCAAGTTGAGAATCTGTACTTCAGATATACGTGTATGTTTGTACTTTCATGGGAATTTGACACCATTCGCGTGACTACACAATAACGAGTGTTGTCAATTACCAGGATTAGCATTCAGATTTATGACCAACTGAACATGGTGACTGACTACAATCTCCCTTTAAATGTAAACCTTGCTTATGAATGACAATTCAAGTAGCAATTAGGAATAAGTGGATTGAAAAGGACCACTTTGAAAAAGTGTCAGGAATTGTTATTCACATATTTGAGACAAAATACTGGATACGTGCTTATGAAAGTTATGTAATCATTAATCATTTATGCACAAGCAGCGCACTCCATGATACACAGGTAGAAGTATGCTTTGAAAAGGGGAAACAAAGGCTATTTATGTAGCACCTCCATCGCTATAGGATTGATTATTTCAAAATGTACAAAGTGGGACCTCTTCATGTTTTGAAGATCTGTGGATATTCGGGGTCATTTGGGACATGTGCTAACCGTGAACTGGTCTAATTACCTATACTTTATTTTCTCCTTCCAACTCTCTAGATTGATCAAGCAAGATTTGAGTTCACGGTCAACAAACTGAATGAGTTTTACGCTGAGGCCGAGAGGTTAGGGGCCAGGACGTACTGTGAAAGCTGCCTAGCATGTTTGACTGCGTATACAGTACTGGTCTGTATGACTACACATTATGACAAGGTACAGTCTGAAATAAATCTTATCAATTTAATAATTTTGAAGCAGAAATTGCAGCATTTAGACAGGAATTGAGCAAGTTTGGGGAATGTTAATTTGTTTTTAAAACAATTTTTCTATTTCTCTTGTTATACAGCATCAAGTGTTCTTTCTTTTTTCTTATGAATACTTAGTTTTAATATTTTGTATGTGTATATGGTAGAATCCCCCCAAAAGAAAAGTTGATTTAAAAAAAAAATTAAAAAATGGATTTTGTACATGTAGGAGCGCTTATTGACATTTTCGTCTATTTGTAGCTTCAGGCCAACATGGTTATACAATAGAATGCATTCAGAGAAGAAACAAAATAGTAAACACCCAGGCTTCCCATGCACTGAATGAAATGTAAAATGTTAGTTTATTTTTTATAACCTAAAAAGTGTTTATTTTAATACAGTTCACATGTTTAAAGCTTAGCATTGCCTACTGCATGTAATTGCTACAATTTATTAACATTCCATTCAATATTTTATTTTTTCCTCTTGCAGTGTGTTAAAAAAGCAGGTCTGTTCATTCAGCAGCAGAACGATGAAATATATGCTCCACGAGGGTTGGTCATCACAGACCCGTTTACGAGGGGTCTCAGAGTTGTATCCTTTAAAGATTATTAAGTATATATATATATATAACATCATCTGCTAAGAGCCAGAAGGATGTTATCTCATATACTTTTGCAAAGAGTTGTGCCCTTCTGGCTCTCAGCATATATGTATAGGCCTCACCAACATATCAAATAACATGTTTAACAATATTTCATCGTGACTGTACCATGGACCAGTGATGGCCTGCAAGGCCTGATGGTAAAGTTGTTGCCAAGCAGTAGATGGCAGGTTCCAATCCCGCTGGTTAAAACAAATTATCCTGACTGGTTTTTAAATTATAGGAACAAGCACACGATCATTATTTACTGGGTAAAGACCAACTATTTCTTTAAAATTGAAATTACTCCCAGGAAGCCTAGCATTCAAATGTTTTTCTGTACTGGTTGTTAACAAATTGTAGTACATGTAGTTTCTTGAAAGAGGAAGTCTACTCGAGTATCATGTTAGCTTTGACAAAACCATAAAATAAGAAAGTTTGAGGAATATGTGATTAAGGATAAGATAGTTATGAAGTTATTATTGATTTAAAAAAAACAAGGAAGAGATTCTCTCTCTCTTAAAGATAGTTGTCAAATCGACTTTTAGAGCTATAGAGCCAGTAAGTAATAGTCTGATTTTCAGACCATTGTACTGAATGGTTGTACGTTTTATGCTGCGCAAAGTTTCAATCAGTTTAATTTTGGCTATTACAAGAAGTGGGTTATTGATGTAGACAAATGCTCATGTACTCTTTACAGCTCATTTTATGTATGTTATTACCAAAGAATAAAAAAAGCCAGTCAGTCGCTCAATAGTGTCTGACAATGAAGTCTAGCAAGTAAAAGGGTTTCCTTGCATAATTTGATGACATATTGACATATTCATAATTCCTGCAAAGTTCTACAGAATTTGATGTTGGCTGCAAAAGGGACATAGTATCTTTAAGAGTTCTTTTTCCTTAACTCATCTAATCCACTTCAGGTTGAGATCACAGTGTATGCGACCGACACATGATCACGGCACAGCCATGATGGTTCATGGTTTAATATCTCTTCCTGTGGGATGATCGTCATACAGGGCACAGAATACCAACATCTCTCGTGTATATAGCTCGACCAAGAAATTTTCATACACCTTTTTTTATGTAAATATAAATATGAATATAAATATAAATATCAGTAATGTTTGATCTCATTTGTGTGATAATGCTTTCAATATTTATTAATGCTTCAAATTTTTAAAACTATAGTCACTATAGTTTAATGGCCAAATCTGAATTTCAGTCAATGTAGGTCATATCGCTTGGTTTCTAGCATAATAATTTGTATTAGTGACATTCATAGTTTTACACCTGTAGAAAATTTGAAGTTAATCAGCCTTTTTGTAAAAAGGGGTGGGGGTGGTGTCATATCTTTTCATGATTACCGGTACTCTCAATATTCTAATATTCGAAAATTTTCAATGTACCTTTTAAACATGCCAGCTTAAATATGATAGAACTTCAAAGAAATTGATTTTTCTGAATTTCAGAAGGGTGCTCAATATAAGCTTTATTGCATGTACTCCCACTTTACAAACAAGTGAATGAAGACACCAATATCTGATAAAAACATACGTTCGCTGATATACCATTAACTTTAAGTGATGACATTTTTCAGATTTAAACTTTCTTGGTATATATCCTGTTACAGTCAGGACTCACTCATGTTCATAATGTTTAGGTATTTTTGCACTCTACAATGTATCGAGTATATCATTGATATCAATGTTGTCCACCATTGTCCTTTGTGTTTGTGTCTTTATCTTGTTTGTTTTGATTGAAATGTCTGTCTTTGTTTTCAGACATTTTACTTCTGTATATCTCAGCTGCTGCTTGTTTGTATGTGTACAAATTCTATTCTAATATATTTCCTTGTAAATTTAAATTAAAACTATGAATATACTGTTTAAGCCTCGGTCACAAATGCCATTACGAACTGCTACGAACGCCGTACCGACGATTTTCAGACAATGGAAATTCGGGAAGACAATGTAAAAACGGAGATTCATACGAAATTATCGTCCGTACGAACCTTTGTGACCATAGCATTACATAATTGTCTCATCATTGGCCATGTACATGTAGAAGTTTGATTAAAAAAAATATTAACATCCATGCATTTGCATACTTACTCTTTTCAATACCTCTACCAAGGCATAATCATAAGGTCAAAACTAAAGCATGTCATGTTCATGTAAATTCCTGGGTAGCCAGCCATTGTCATTAGACTTTTGAAATATGCTCCGTTTTGTTTTTCGCCACTTCAATGAAGCTAATAATAAAAATAATGATGATAATGTATGAGATTTGTAAGATGCCAATTCCACTTGAAAGCAGATGTCCAAGGCACATTAGCGAAAAAAGAAGAAAGAAAAAAATCCCTTTAAAATGATAGACTGCCATAAAATTGTACTGCTCAATGGTCCATAATTTTTGTTTTGCCTTGTTTTGTTTGTTTGTTTGCACGTCTGTTTTGTCATGAGAGAGCTAAATATTAGATATCCACTGAATTGTAGAGTTTTATTGATTATGGTTGGTTACGTTTTAAACTGCTCCTTTTGCTGTATGTTAGGGCAACACTTTGGTACAGGGTTCTGTAAATTTCATCAAAATGACTATGAAATGCTGTATGTATTTCTTATTCAAATTTTGTGACCTTCTTCAGAACTCTGCTGAAACCAAATTCTTATGAAGTCGTGTTTTGTAATGAAGAGTCACCAAGAGAAAATGTAATATGAAATTGACATCATGAATAATGTAATGTTTATAATACATGTATTTGGTAAACACTCAGTATTATTGGTTGGTTTGTTGCTTGACGTGACTACTAAGAAAGCATGTGTATGCTTGTATTAATTAAAGAATTATTGTATTAAAGTAAGCAACCAGGGGACCCACAGCTTCAAGTCCTCTCCAAGGCACTTAGTAATGAGGAATAATGCTTTATCAAATGTCACAATAACATCAAATTGGTTAGAACCTGCGACCCCCAGTTACGAGACCACTGCTTTACTGCTGTCTGTGCATTTTACTCAGATTTCTTTTTTCAGATTGCTGGCTTGTATCGTGTTATATTTTTGTAATTATTTTGTTCGTTCTTTGTATCTTGATGTTTTTGCAATTTGTGACCTTGACCATGAAAAACGTTTGTTTGATATTGATGAAAAGCAATTATAAAATATTGAGGGCCATAACTAAAAACTGTGATATTTTTATTTATTTATTTTTATTTATTTAAAATGGTTTATTTCATTAAAAAACATTCGCGGCCCGAGAGCCGAATTGCAGTTTCTTTTACAAGGTATACATCATTTCTTTTACAAGGTATACATATCTAATACATGCATGCATTTTGCATGCTTATGGTGATTTTTGCTACTTGCTGCATACTCTTCATAATTACATGTATCAATAGATTATTTTCATAATGTAACCAAATTCAATGCATGTTCATCTTTGTGAAGTTTCTCGATACAAATTATTTCATTTATCTGTTACCAATAATTGTATCTCAATATTTAGAATGCAATTTTCATACATTAGTTGTTGCTAGATGAGACAAACATTATGGCTTACCACACCTAACAACATGTGATATATATGCAATTTGCATTCTGACAACTGAGAAACAAATATTCTTAACAGGTGAATGAAATAATTCGTATTTAGGCACTTCACAAAGACGGTTGCAATTAAATTGGGTTACATTATGAAAGTGACCTGTTCATGGAAAGAGCTAGTAAAAGCTAAATACTGACTTTTGAAGAGTAAAAATAAGAATTTCCTTGGAGCTCTATCAATAGGTTAAATAACATTTTGTGAGGCACAAATGTTTTCCTAGACTGCCATTTTTCCATTGTATCATCTATTGAGGGCCAGAAGCATATTAACACTGTATATTGATATAAATTAATGCCCCTTCGGCTCTCGGCAGACTATTTTTACTGACAGTATTTGATGGTCTTTCCATTTTTGTACATAAAAAATTGCTAGAATATCATGTAAGTTCAAATAGATATGGACCCACATGTGTACCACCAGCACCCTCAAACCAGTATGGATACTGGATATGGTCACATTGAGTTTCAGATTTAACTCATGTTAAATTTAAAACGCTTTTAAAATGCTGTCAATGTGGGAGTTATGTTTCATTTTCTTCCTAAGATTTTTTGTGTGATTCCATAGGAGGTGAATAACGATTTTTAATTAATATTTTTTGTTTTGAACAAAAAGTCATGCAAAAAATTGAAAGGTGATGAAATGAAATTATGTGTATTGTGGATCAGATCAAGCCTATTTTGTAAAAGAGATATTATTTGTGTTTATATTGCTATAATCAAGTTCATGCGAATGTATTTATGATATAGTTTTTATGTCAAAAACAATAAAGATATCTAACAACACTGAAATCAAACGTTTTCCTATTCAATATATCATTTCATTTGTGGAATTTTATTTAGAAAAACAATTTAAATCATCATTCTCCAATGAAGGAAGCACACCTTAAGAAAAAACACTGTGATTTTCTGTGTGGATTTCAATTGGATGACAATAATACTAAAATGATACTTTGTATTTCCCCCATAACGCACCCCTAATCATATGGCTACTTGCCTATCAAAATGACCTGTTATAGTAGCTCCGTATGCATGAGTCATCGGCAAGTCGTGTCCTAAAAATAGAGCATTGCAAAGCATTTGATGCCTCTGTGTAATGACTCGTGATGCATACATGTAACATGATATTGATTCTTTGATGGGCTAGTGTGCTAGGATGAAAACCAAATTGTTGAGGTTGTAAATGATACTTTTAAATATCTGTTTCTCTCGCTCTCTCTCTTTCAGTCTCTTTTCATCTGTCTCCCTGTCCTCTCCTCTCCCTTTGTTCTCTCACTCTCTCTCTCTCTCTCTCTCTCTCTCACTCTCTCTCTCTCTCTTTCTCTCTCTCTCTCTCTTCTCCCCTAGCTACAGGGTATATGTATGCCATAACTTTTTTTTTTTCTTTCTTTCGTTCTTTATGTAAAAATGATAAAGATATAGGAGAACCCTTATCCTTTCGTGACACTGATAAAAAAGTGAAGGCAAAGTAAAAATGTAAAATTAATCGGGTAGAACCCCCCACCCCTTGCTCTATCTGTCTATTAAAATAAGATGCAATTGGTTTTTTTTTTTTACAGCCCCTATTAGGGATTTGCTCTCAAAAAAATGATTGCAGAATTTATCTGAAGCAGCAAGATGATTTATGAAAGTATGTCCAAAATTACCGATCAAAAGACTCTCATTTCATACACAACAATTGAGGTGTATAAAACACTGCCAGTTGCAAAATTCAAATTTTGAAGAAAAAAAAAATTAGTCATTTTGCTAATAATTAATATTTTGCCCCATACTTTTAGGAAAGTTTTCAATTTATAACTTTTTACAACATTTCAGCCCTTTTACAAGTTTTGACCCCATGCAAATCCCTGCAATGTCCTTTCAAATGAATCATTTCATTTTATATCCACAAAAATTGCATGCTACAAAAATATGGCAAATTTTGATAGAAAAAAAAAAATTGAATTTCAACCTCAACGTGTTGGCAATTAAGTATTTTAAAGCAAATTTTTCTTTTTTGAATTCCTAGAATCATACGCAATATCAAATGGATGGAATGTGTGCAGAAAGTTTTGCTCTTTCTACACATGCATCTGGCATATTGTTTTAGGGCCCTGAATTAAAAGTTATTTAGCCAAACAACAAACTGTGAAATGACGGTCGCAAAAGGGTTAACACCACATTTTCTGCTTCCCCCAAATAATATTTGTCACTGGAATATATAAGAAATCTGCATATAAAGACCACCTGCCTAAAGAGATCTCTTTTCATGTCTCCCTTGAGTGGTCTTTATAGACAGGTTTCACTGTATCATAGTTGATTCAGCACTAAAACAGTACGACAATACACCTGACGGTGGCCTGTACTGCAACTGAAGAAGAAGAATATGGTCTTACCTCGGTGTACCTTTGATAGCCTAGATAACATAGATAAATAAGAAGAAGCACTGTACTCCTTTTGAATTTCACTTGATCAATGATTTAATGTTCTTCCATAAATAATCAACTTCAATTTGTATCTACATTGGGGTCATGATAAATGTTCAAATTCACAACATTATTACGCACAAGAATAACATGACACATCACATACAGGTGAATGTACTACTGTAGTTCAAGAATCATCTTTGGAAACATGTATAAATCTAATCACATTCCACTGTCCTGGTAATTCATGATTTGCATTCTAAAATTTACTGACATTTCTCTTGCATGGTTTGAAACGATGACGACAAGCTTGCGATTTCAGGGCCCCTTGCAGAAATTTTTTTTTACCATTGATGGTAACTTTACCGCCAATATTAGCTACCATGGCAACATTACTCAACAGCTAATCAAATCAAAGTTTCCATGGAAGTTACCATCAATGGCAAGTTTGATGCCACAGGGCCCTGGAGATGGCAAGTTTTTGTCAATGCTACCTAAGCCTAAATTAACCCACATGTCTATTGAATGATATATGTGACAAAATTGGATGATTGTTTTACTAGACTGCTATTAAAGAAAGCATATGCCATAATGCCAGGTATATGCTTGTAAGTAAGCAGCCAGGGGACCAACGGCTTTAAGTCCTCTCCGAGAGACTTGGTAATGAGGATTAATGCCTCAATCAAAGGGCACAAGCTCATTGACTCGGTTTTGAGCCCGGAGCCTCCTAGTTAGGAGACTACTGCTCTACCAATTAGCCATCGTGCCTATTCTTTGGAATTTATCAAACCCCAATCCTAACCCCAACTTTAATGCATAAAATGTTGAACACAATAATTTGATTTAAAAGTATCTCTTTAAATTTCAATATCAACCATAGGATGAATTAGATTAAGTTAATATTTCTATTTTTTTTTAAATGTACATGTATAAACACATTTGGCTTCACTTTGAGTGCTTACATCAACTCCATGTATTGTGTTTGAGCATATACAACAAAAATTCATACATACAGTGAGTTCAAAGATATTTCACAACAAATTTGACTCCTGAAAATATAGGTTTAGTGATACCGCAAGTTTATAATGACCATGAAAGTGACATCCTAGATAAATGTTATTATTTATATGTATAATAAATAAATAAAGAGCTACAATGGGTCACACACGTTTCTTCTTAAATATATATACCAATTTTTAAGGAGAGCAACATCTTTTTTAAATATACATGTATTTATTAAATCTTAAGGAGAACAACATTTACAGTGTAAGATATTAAAAACTATGTATACTAATTAAGTAGTTAATTAAAACAGTAACAGCATATGCTTTAACAAAAATGACAAGTGAAGGACGTAAATGATCGATGACAAGCACAATCATAATAATCATTTTTGGTGTGGCTGTTTTAACAAATTTCAAATCACCTACGAAACAGATAAATAAAAAGTTTAACATGTATTTGAAGGAATTGCAACTTCTAATTAAAATATGTGTTTCTATATAACCTTCTTAACTTGATGTACAAAACATTTAACAAATATCAACCTAAAAGTTCTTAAAATGTTATATTCTTTATTTTAAGCTGATTAAAATGGACTGAATTATTAAATGTTGTAAGATGAACTCATGAAGAGGTATTGGAAATTCAAATACTGCGAAGTTCAACATGTTTGTTTATTTTTTTTTATTATCATAGTTTCTTTTTCTGCTCAGCAGAAACGAATTGGCAGCATTGAGAGGCATTCCTACAACTACATGTTTGCAACTGGCAAGACTAAAATGACAAGATAAAATCACAAACTTTTTCTTGTTTATTCACTAAATGCTTGAAATAACAAGACTTAGATAAACGGCACACAAGAGCATTTTTGTATACGTCTCTACCATACTCAGTACTGAATCAGCTTTCTGTATTTCACTTGGCTCTGGGTGACTTGAATACTTGAGTTTACTGTTAATACATTTCATCTGAATTTCTGCCTTATACATGTACTTGTACTTGTGCGAACAATCATAAAAGCAGTAGTTGTGCATAAATATATAATGTACAATTAACAACTAAATTATTCATACCCTTACCAAGTTTTTGTAATTGTTTAAGTATATGAAAATTGTATTTGTCCTGGGGGGTGTTTCATAAAGATGTTCGTAAGTTACGCACGACTTTACGCACGACTGGAACATGTTCTTGGGTGCTAATCAGATTCTCAATCATTTACATGTAGCACAAGAACATATCACCAGTCGTGCGTAAAGTCATGCGTAACTTACGAACAGCTTTATGAAACACCCCCCAGATTATGCTTCTGGAGAATTCAAGCTGACATCTAAAAGGTCCTAATTTAACCTTTCTAGCTTTCATTCTTGAGTTTAATACAAAAAACACCAGCAAACATCAAATTTACAAGGGGTATGAATAATTTAGTTGTTGACTTTAAATATAAATACATTCTTTAAAAAGATGGTTAAAATATTTCTTATGAATGATGTATAAAGTGCCATTCAAAATGATCCTGGGCAGCGTTTTAACTAACCGTCAAAAGTACAAACTGGTACAACAGTATAATAGTTTCCTCCCGAACAATGTAAGGGTACAGCCAACTCACAAAAAGAAATAATACGAAAATACTAACAAAAGAATGAAATAGCATATCTTCTGTCTAGATTAGCAACACGCCAAAAGTTTTCTGCAAATTTACCTGACAGAAATTAAGCAATGTCAAAATTTTGGCAATAGTCATGAAAGTCTAAGAGAATTTTGAGCTTTTTTTTTTTTAATAGCTGACATCTTTTGGGGGGACTTTCACATTTCATATATTTTCAAATATATTGCCTAGTCTATAGTATGTGATCACAACAGTGGTGTTTCCATGTGTTAGTATAAAGGGGAGGCCCTTCTGGGCAGTCAAACAACAAGGATATGCCAGCTTAAATCTATATATATGGTGGATAGGCTACTCATACATGATTGATAATTCAAAGTAACCTTTACTTTTTAACTGTATTTAGTTTACCGTAAAATTTTCTTCATTATTCATTTCCAGTCATTCAAATAACTGTTACGACTAATATACCGTATTGGTAATTGATGCCTTCATGTCTAGATTAAATATGCTTACGATAACCAGAAGATTCCACAGATTACCTAAAACTTTCTAAAAATCACTTTTTAACATCTCTATAAATCTTCCACATCCTTCATATACATTTTAACATGATACAAGTACAACATGTACACCAAATGTGAACTGCCACTCTATAAAAGACATTAAATGCATAATATTATGTTTCACTATGTACATGTATAGGATGTACAATTGTGTATTAATTTTTCTCCAAAATATATATCCTCTTGAACATAAACACATTAAAAAAATTGTATATTTAAAATCTGTAATTGGAGTCAAATCTTTGAAAGAGCATTATAATACATTCATTCTATTCTAGATTAAGTAATCTTTCTATACATAAAACAAGAAACAAATTCCACATATACAGTTAAGCTGATTTCTTTTTGCATAAAAATGGGGATTAATAGCAACAATTTTGATTTCCTACAATGTAGGTTTCCATAAAACTAGGTAGACCAATCATTCAACATCTAAAACTGACCCTACACTGATTGGTAAACAGTTCACTACATTTTAGAGATACAAAATATTACTTTTAGAGTTTTAGAAAATGTACATGAGAACATTATCCCCAAAATGGACATAACCTGCATAGGTTTCCTTTAAAAAAAACAAAAAACATTAATTTCTCTAATTAAATATTCAGCGGTAGTAATCATACATGTATGGTGTCAAATGAAGCTAACACTAATTGAAACATGATATACCATTTGTAATGAACATGAAGGGTGCTTACTAATACACATTAACACAGAGTTAAATTCCTTCTTGCTCTGAACAGACGATTCATTGAAATAGAGAGAGAGAGAGAGACTTGGCTTGACAAATGTTAAATTCCAACAACTCATTTACCAACTGTCACAATTATGCTAATAAAATGGATAAAACAACAAAGGCAACAAATCATTATTGCTTCAATGGCAAGAGTTATATTGTTACTGGTTGTAGAGAGTCAAAAACTCATTCACAAAGACAGAGTTGCAAGATTTAAAAAAAAAGTCTGATCTAAAAACAACTTTGCTATAAACATGTATACTGGATGATAAAATGATTAAAGAAACCACTTTTCAGATCAACTGGAAGGAATTTATGAAATAGAATTGAGAAATGTAGCCAAATAGCGATTTGTCCAATTACAAAAATTACAGTCAAGGCCCCTCGGCCCAGCGGTGGCAAGAAGAGGAACAGGAAAAGGAAGAAGATTCTACGATTCCAACGATTCCAACAGCCTATCATTCTTAAAATATCTGCTTACAGCACACCTTTATAGCATTACTCCTCACCAAATATCTGAAAAGCCATTATATCTTCCACTTTTTGTGCTACAGTTAGAACATATTCCAAAGTTATTACAAACAAATGTGCAGCAATTGAATGCATACATGTATCAGTCAGTGAGATGATTGGTAATTATAGATGTGCATCAATTGAATGCATACCAGTCAGTGAAATGATTGGTGATTATAGATGTGCATCAATTGAATGCATACCAGTCAGTGAAATGATTGGTGATTACAGATGTGCCTCAATTGAATGCATCCAGTCAGTGAAATGATTGGTGATTACAGATGTGCATCAATTGAATGCATCCAGTCAGTGAGATGATTGGTGATTACAGATGTGCATCAACCAAATATGAATACAACACTGTATTTACATGCACACCTGGGTACAGGCCTGTAATGTCACCATCCAAAAGACGCGACAGAAGGACATTTTGTAGGTAAATCAGTAAGTCCCCTTTTGGACCCCCTTATCTTCACCTGGTTTTTCATTCAAGCCTCATATAGACTGTTATTCATCTGGTGTGTTCTTCCCACAAGCAGCGGTTAACTCATTCGATCTGACCCGATATTCAATTACACTCATCTGTGTTACACAAAACTGTACAGTGATATTCAAAGGATTAAGCAAATGATGCCTTTGGATAATTTAATAATGCTTAGAACCCTAACAAAAGTGACATTAAATGGTCTTCCCAGCATCATACAACTCCACATACCGATACAATGAAAAACCAGGAAAATTTTGCAAATTTTGAAATGTTTGTTAATTATGCGAGTGGTTCAAATTGACAAATTCACAAAAGTTTTGTGCCATAACCTTAATGATTCAAAACGGACATCAACACTGAATTCATTGAAGTCACAAACGTTTCTCATCTTAACCTTGCTCTCTTTTACAAATCACAAAAGTTTCAGTCTTACAGTACAGATTGCTAGCATGTGTAAACTGCATGAAATTTTCATTACTTCAGCTGATCTGACAAATGTTTAACGAAGATGAATATCAAAAAGATATCAACAGATTTTAATATCTTCAAATTTTCAATTTGTTTTAATATGGATTACATGACTGTGTACATTACTTTCCAGCCAATAGCCATTGAATACCATTTTCCCCCTATCATATGTACCACTTAACAATACTGAAGATTAAAGGTGACTTCAATACCCAAGTTATATTTACAGTGTATTTCATAGAGAGTTAAGTACATATTTCCCAGTCAAGAGATACGTAACCCTATAAATATTCTAAAGACTACTAGCATATTATATAGTCAAACCTGCTTTAGTGACCACATGTCTTGTGCTTTCTTTTGGCAGAGATTTTCATTGAAACCTGTATATAAAGACTACCTGCAGCCTGCCTGTGGAGACTACATCACCTCGGAGCATTCTTTCATATTGACACATTATATAACGTGTGAGTCAAAAAAAAGTTTACACCTAGAAAATTGCTAATTATTTTTAAGATCATTTATGAACAGTAAATATTATACATCTTATGAAAGAGTGTTTTATCCCAAATCATTTGGTATCATTTTTGTGTGGTATGTGTTCACACTTGGATGAACAGGAGGCATTGTTTGCGAGAGTGCAAAAATCGACTTGCGCCAAAGTTGCTCATGTGATGTTTGAATAAAACAATTCGGATTGGAGAATTAAATCGGTTTTTGCAGATCCAAATAACATCCCTAACAAAATTAATCATGCCACACATATCAAATATAGAATATCAAATATCAAAGAACATTTGTGCACATGTGTGTGTGGGTGTGTGACTTTGCTTCTGCAAAAAGCATATGCAATGCATTTCATTTGGTACATTCAATTCATTCTCTCACTCCGCTAATCCAAACATGCTGTAGGCATCACTTTGGCGCAAGTCGATTTTTGCAATCTCGCAAACAATGTCCCCTGTTCATCCAAGCGTGAAAATATACCACACAAAAATGATACCAAACGATTTTGGGTAAAACACTCTTCCATAAGATGTATAATAATTTACTGTTCATAGATGAGTTTTAAAATAATTAGCAATTTTCTAGGTGTAATTTTTTTTTTGACTCACATGGTATATGCCTTCCAAAGAATTACAAGTTTCATGTACAACTAGTCTGCTGAGAGCAACAAGGGCATTCACCCCCATGTAAGTTAAATAATGTGAATTAATGCCTTTCTAGCTCTGAGGAGATGAATTATTTGTCCCTAACCCTGGTTCATAATCAAAGCTGTATAAATCTTGTCTTGCATTCCCTTCTCATCTTCATCTCCATCTGCATCTGTTCTTTCTGCTGCTCCGCCCGAAGGTTTCCGGACCGGTTAAAGTTCATCGAGCCCAAGGTACGGAACCTGAGAGCAATCTTACTGATGGTCGCTTGAGCGCCTTCCCTTCCAATACTGTCAGTCTCTGTCTTCTCGGTCGACGTAGTGCTCATGAAGCAATCCTGAAGCGAATTTTCGCTGTGAGCACGGTACTTCATTCGGAGGTTTTCAGCGAGGAGGTGATCATGGACGAAGTTTTCCGGAAGAGGGTTGACGGTCAAGTCCAAGGGACCGAAGTTATCATCGAGGGATGGTAATCGCACCACTGGATTAGAGAGCCGCTTCTGTGGAGATTGAGGGAGTGTCTCGTCCTTGTTTGTTAGATTTGAATCTCTTGTTATATTGGCATTCAATTCTTCAACCTGGCCATTAGAGTCTGCAAAGACTTTACTAGAAGCATCAGGTCCATCTGCAGCGTCCACTGGGGCTTGTGTTCTTACCCGTCCTAAGGTGCTGTACTTCCTACTCTGATCTTCACCATCTGACAACAATCTTCCTCTCCTCACCCTCTCTTCGTTGGCATTGGCAATCATGTTAGCATTATCAGCAGCATCACGGTGGTAGTTCTTTCGAGGCGTTATTCTTCGTAGGTTCAGACTTCTCATGTTTCGTTCCTGATCAACAGCCAGTACGCCGCATGTCGTCAGGATGATCTCTCCATCGTGAGAAACCACGCTGTTGTTATGAGGATCATCTTCTGGGTCCACATCAGCATTTCCTCCCAGGATTTCCAGACAGGCTCCCAAGCTCAGTCCGTCAAACGACGTGTCATCGCTAGACGATGAATCAAGCAGGATCTCATCGTCACTGTCATCGATGCCATCTAGTTCATCCTGGCTCTCCTCATCCTCAGCTAAAGCACGGTTCTCCATCCCGATGCTTTCCGTCTGCGGATTGGACTGCCTCTTCCGTAAGCGTACCTTCTTCAGCGGGTTCAGATTGGAGACCTTGTCGCCCATGGACTGGAAGTATCTGCTCATGACCTGTGCTCTGATTGGCTTGATAAGCTGACGGCTGCTGGGCTGATCAGAAGGGCTCTGCTCACCACCCTGGTTGCCACCTTTGCGCTTGGCAAGGACCGATTCTGGAACAAACTTGTCCTGTAACCACATGGTGAAACGTTTCTGGGACGTGAGACGGATTACCTCTTGGGAGACCCTGCTCTTTTTCCTGGTGAACACAGACAAGTAGAAACAGGTATGATTAGAATGCACACAGTCTGAAAAATGACAAACTGACAAGAGATTGCAGACGCCCATAACACCACAACCAATAACAACTTCATTTCTAAAACTTTTATACTTCAGATTGTAAGCAAGATTGACAAGTCATACAAAAGACCAAGTGCAGGCTTTACTCAAGGATTCGTCATCTACATGTAGAACTGTTGATTCTCCATTCAATTTTTTTGAACGTCTGCATTGACCAAGAGAAAATTTTAGATGGCAATGGGAAACGGCACTAAACCTATTGCTAGCAGGTCTTAAGGGGAGTGGGATTCTTAATTTTATGACGGCAATGGAAAAATGGAAATGAATACTCACTTTTCCATCTTGTCCTCAACAACCTTCAGTCCCAGATTATTAGCTGCTCTGGCCTTTGCAAGGGCTTCTACAAGAGCATGAAGGATATCTGAAATTAAAAGTGATATAGAAAAAAAGGAATTTAGAAAATTAAATCAAAGATTGGAATAAACAACAAATAAAAAAAAAGTGCACAAAAACTTGACTGCAGTGTACATAAGTTCCAAGTAAGGAAGCAAGACATACGATTAAGTGAGATATACTGTCTCAAAAACAGAAGAGTAGGCAAAAGAGAAATGCTGTGTAGACATTACATAAGAGAAGAAAACATAGATAGTCTATCCAAAAAACAAATATGAAATTGTGTTGGATTATACACATATGAGGGATATATGTTTTCTAATTCAGAACCCTTGTTATTTGTTTGCTGCGGTACTAACCTTCAGCTGCTTCCTTTGACTGACTAGGCAGTGCTTTCAGAGTGCTGAAGTAACCATCCTGACCCTGAACAGAATGATAGATGCGCACGCAGCGCTGTTTGGCATGGGAGAAGAACGTCGTTGCTGATCCTGACAAAGAGCAATCATAGAATCATTGTTAGGAGAAATTAAACTGAAGGTAATCAAATCAACATGGTCAAACCTGTCTATACAGACCACCTAAGGGAGACAGGAAAAGTGGTCTTTGTGTTCAGGTTCCTTTTATAGTACATGTTTCAATGAGAAACCATTTTCAAAGGAAAAAAATGTGGACTTTGTAGAGAGGTGGTCTTTCTATACAGGTGGTCACTATAAAAGCAGGTTTGACTGTACATGCAGCTCTAATGCTGTAAACAAAGCACTATTAACAAAAACAAAAACTAATGCAAGAATTTCAATAAATTGTTTAGTCAATATTTCTCAGCTCAGCTGTTTTCATTATAATCAGATGTTGGATCACAATGTTGGATAAAATAAAAATCTGAATAATTCCTGAGGGAGTTTCCAAGGACAACAATGTATTTCAATATCAATATATCTTTGTTTTGCAAAAGTGACACGTGCTAGCCTTTGGTATCTTCAAGACTGTGGGTGTACATGTATTTTTGCATGAATATCTTCTATATCCCACTTTTTATGAACAAAGGATTTTAAAAAAATCTAGGGGCTGGTTCTCCAAACCGTCATAAGTGTAACTTCTTAGACATCCCATTGAAACCTGTGTTATGAAATTAACACGCGTTTCTACGGGATGTCCACAAACTATAACTTATGACGGTTACAAGAAACTGGCTCCAGATGGATGTCAAAGAAAACGAGAATCAGAGAAGTACTTATTTACCTATGCCCACAGCAGTCATTGCATCTATTGGTATCCTTTCATACTGGGTGATCTTCTCTGCCTCATCATCATAGCTGAAAAAAAGATAAAGATAGTTGGTAACTAATGGAAAGTACAGTAAAAACTGTGTATAAAGACCATCCAAGGGAGTCAAGAAGAGTGGTGGCCTTCAAAGACAGGTGGTCCTCATGTACAGGATACTCAAAGGGCAATCCAACCCTTGTAATTAATTCATTTGTATGAATGCAGAAAAATAAAGCATAATGACAAAAGTTTGAAATATACAGTGAATAGTTTAAAAAAAAAAAGGAAAACAAAGTTGAAAAATAAGTAGTTATCTTGACTTTTCAATCATGAGGTTGTACCTGTAGGTGCAGCTCCCAGCTCAATGCCATTGCCCGAGGACAAGCCACTTCATCTACAATTGCTTTTCAAATTATATCCCTTAAATTGGGTGGGGAAGGTGCCTTGAGTGTTATAGAAGGTGTTTTGCAATAATAAAGCAGTGTTGCAATAGCTTTTAACAGTAACAAAAGCCAAAAAAAAAATTACATTTGATGACAATTTTAGGATTACTTTCTCCCGGTCCTCTGCTTGTGTCGAACCCTGATCACATGCTTCTACAACTCTCTAGTTCTCTGAAATCTAAAGTAAATCCTAAATTACCAATGATAATAAAAATAGCTACATTTATAATACGCACAAACCCATCCAAGGGGATGCTCAAGGCACCTACAAAGGACTATTATCACCCTGGTTTAGCCCAGCTGCCCTAAGGCACTAACAGTGTTGTAAATAGATATAATTCACATGATAAAACTAGATGATACATGTAAAGTCAAACCTGTCTATAAAGGCCACTCAAGTAAAAACAGAAAAAGTGACCACTGTAGACAGATGGTCTTTCTAGACAGGTTCTACAACACACATTTCTCTCTAAAGGGAGACAAAATACTTGGCCACTATAGACAGGTGGCCTTTATAAAGAGGTAGCCACTAAGACAGGTTAGAATGTACCTACCTTGCAATGTAGTAAGCCTTCTCTGATATGATCAGAATGATGTCCCTGTCATCCTCACCACTGTCATCAAGATCCCTGTATTTAAAGGAAAAGTATTAATATTCTAAGAGCATAAAATGGAATTTTGAAAAAAATTATAGTTGATACTTTGATGGCTTTAACAATACCGACAGTAGTATAGGTCTTCTACATAACCCAAGAAATAGTCGATGAGAATTGAAATTATAAAACTTTGAACATAGAAAAATTTATTTGGATGACGCTTGTAACTTGCTTGAATTGTAAATGATCGAAGCTTTAATAACAGGAATTCAGAGCCAAGCATTCCAAGTTCATCTTAACTTCTTTCTTTATTAGGATTGTATGAAGTTTTAATTTCATTATAGAAAATCTTATTTTTAGTAAGGCTCAGTAGGATGTCAGTTCTATACAAACAAATATAAATGCTGAATAATAGTCAATGAGAGCCCAACATCTAAGATTCATCTTTCCTTCATTCTTTAAGAGGTTGTGCTACAGATTCATACATGAAAGTGATGAGAAACGGGGAGGATATCTGACACCAGTGGAAAGCATTGAGGCCACGCTCTGCTACCAGGCAAAACCTACCTTTGTTCTCTAATTAATGGTGTTTTCGCATCGGCGCGACGTCGTTATTGTTGAAACAGTGAGCAATTGCTTGCTGATGGCAAGCTATGGCTTTGAGCATAAGCAAAAGGTTATTAATGCGGATTCAAACAAATGCTACTATTAATGCATTCGGCACAATGTATTAATTTTCACCTACCCTGAGTCACAATCAATAAGCACCCAGCCTCCTAGATTCATCTTGGCTTCATTCTTTGGTAGTAGTAACCTGGAGCATTGTTGAATCCTCTGTTTGATATCTTCCTCATCCACACCATCCCACACATCTTTACCCATCTCAGCGGATGCCTTCTGCTCATCAATCAATGTGAGATCCTCTTGGATCTCCTGGTTCCCCAACATCAAATCTGTGGGCAACAAAGCAAAATTATTCTTATAAATCAAGACTGAAAACTCATTTGATCATGTAGTATATATATCACAGCATTTACGAGCTCTTGCAGCGCAGTTGAATATACCACATAGTTATTGCGCTTTACAAATAAATATATTATTATTATTTATTATCATTATACCGAAGAGAAACAGAAAAAGTGGCCATTGTAGACAGGTGGCCTCTCTAGACAGGTTCTACAACACACATTTCTTTGAGAAAAACAAAATACATAACCACTATACACAGGTGGCCTTTTAGAGAGGTGGCCCTTGACCCTTTGCTTATGGAAACCTGGTGGTCTCTGTGTTAAGCCTATGGGACCTATAAAATTCAGTAGTCAACGGTTTAAGACAGGTTTGATCGTACTCAATAATGCAGCAAAATCAACTGTACTTTCAACAGATTTGCTTAATCTCTGCCTAGAGGTTTCATGACTTTTCAATTTCATCCTAAAGTCTTGCCCATCCTAATTCAGATTGAGTAATGATGTTAACACGTGTATGTAATCATATTTTGGACATTTGGTTTGAATTCTCCCCCAAGAATTGAGAATTCATTCCTTCCTATTGAGCACTAGCTCACTGTCTTGGTTTCAAGATCAAGACCTCCCAGCTTTAAGACAAGTGCTCCATTTTACTAAACAACTAAATCTTCTGGTTGATATTACTGCAAGTTCAACACATTACATTCATTCACTATCCAGTTACAAACAGAAATGGCAAATAATTCAATTCAATTTAGCTTATTCATTTCCATAAGAATCACATTAAACAAACACATATATTTGAAAATAGTACTGTAAATAACATAAAAATCTTTCACTAGACTATACATAAGTACATTCAAATATTAAACTATAATGGAAAAAGAGAAGTTATAAAAACCCAAATAAATGAGTTCGTTGAGATATCTCATGAGCTTGTCAAGATATTAAAAAATAAAATAAATATTGAAATATGAAGACAGATGGAACTGACCTATTGCCACTTGTCTGAAGGCATCCTTTAGCTGGTTCTGCACGTATCTGCTCGCTGAGTTGTACCCATCTTTCATGAGCCCTGTTAACTTCCTCTCTCCTGTCCTGGTGTAGTCTCCCTTGAGAGCGGCGGTCCCAGCATACTGCCGGCTGACGATGTCCCCGTTGTTGGCCCACATGTCCTGGTAGATTGTCTTGATGCTGGGGACGAGTCTTTGCTCAGGAAGCAGCAGTCCCAGCTTGCGTAGCTGTTGAGGTAACATCAGTATTGTTATGAACGGTGGTACTATAAATGCGACAGTACACTATGTGACTTTAAAGCCCCTCTGCACTAGTTTGGCCAGTAGGGATTAAACATTCATGCATGGTCACCGACAGGTGATCAAATAAGCTCTCAATTAAATAAAGAAAAAGGGAATGGGGACCAATGGTCACCGATTAGGCATTGTTTGTTACCTGTGTTCTGAGCACCACCCTGGCTAGAGCCGTCTGAACCACATTGGTCCCGTCAAGACAGTCCATGCCTCTCTACAAGTACCAACCTGTGTTCTGAGCACCACCCTGGCTAGAGGCGTCTGAACCACATTGGTCCTGTCCAGACAGTCCATGCAGTTCATCCTGAACACACCTCTCTGCAAGTACCTACCTGTGTTCTGAGCACCACCCTGGCTAGAGCCGTCTGAACCACATTGGTCCTGTCCAGACAGTCCATGCAGTTCACCCTCAACACACCTCTCTACAAGTACCTACCTGTGTTCTGAGCACCACCCTGGCTAGAGCTGTCTGAACCACATTGGTCCTGTCCAAACAATCCATGCAGTTCACCCTGAACACACCTCTCTACAAGTACCTACCTGTGTTCTGAGCACCACCCTGGCTAGAGCTGTCTGAACCACATTGGTCCTGTCCAATTAGTCCATGGAGTTCACCCTGAACACACCTCTCTACAAGTACCTACCTGTGTTCTGAGCACCACCCTGGCTAGAGCTGTCTGAACCACATTGGTCCTGTCCAAACAGTCCATGCAGTTCACCCTGAACACACCTCTCTGCTCCAGGATCACTCCCTCAGCGTCGGCCCTGGGTGGGGGACAAACACATTTCATGATCAAGAACATATTTTGGGCATATTATGCAAACCAGCGAAATTGGACATAGAATCAACCTTTCTACATCTACTTCAAACAACACTCATAACATTTTTTCCTTTCATTTTTGATATTGCAATAATCTGTTGAAATATTTATTAAACTGTAACTGGTTATCAACCAAAGTATCTTTAAGGTACATTTAGTTTAAAGACACCTCCTCAAATCAGGTTTCTGGAAGACTACACATGTATCTATTGTCTCATCACACATTATCCTTAAAAAATGTATGTCTCGTCTCATACATTTTTGGAAGATCTGAAGAATTAATTTGCTTAATCAACCTCTCCAGTAAATAATTCAATTTTCTCATTGCTTTTAATGTGATGGCTACATATACATGCTGTCTGTTTGGAGCCAGAAGGGTGTTAACTCATATACTTTAACACAGAGTTAATGCCCTTCTAGCTCTGAACAGGGGATGCGTTCATTATGCAGCAAAGTATTATACATAACTTTTCACTTTGCACCTGTTTAATAACTGTCTAATAATATCTCATAAAAAATTAGTTTCACTCCCGTATAGGTGTTGTGAGTTTCATATCACCAATCTAATTAAATAAAAGAATTCATCTTTATTGGGGGCTTACCACTACACTATATGGTTTCAAGATATATGAAACCTAGGGAGTGTTTCACAAAGACTAAGATAGACTTAAGTTGGACTTGAACTATGGCAGGCCATTCATGCCCTTAGAAAGTCTTGAACCAGATGTAACATAAGAGGAAAAAACCCTTAGAAATTATGAACTTTAGATAATATTGTTTCCTTCAATAATAAACTATAAAAAAATGTAAATTCTGTAGATTCGTGACCATGATTTTTTACATCCCTCGAGAAACCAATCCCCGAAATGGATAGAGGAACTAGTGGCATTAACAGCCTGCCATAGTTAAAGTTAAAGACCAGTTTTGGAAATGCCTCCCTCTCAAAAAATGAAATGGAAGCTCTTATTACCAATCATGTGAAAGAATTTGTTTTGACTAATACGTAATGATAGAAATTTTGATGAGAAACCGCCTACTAATCGATATATTTACTAAAATATTATATCTATTTGGACCTGATAGATATCGCGCACGTGTCACGTAGTCCCATATACATCTTTCTGTGTACAGTGCTTGTAACTTTACCAAGACTGGGCCAAATTTCTTATCATTTTGATGATTCCAGAACCTTGCAGTACACACCAGTACTTATATGCTAGATGATCAACCTTTTCTGATCGATTCCACACGTTTCTTTCACAATGCAATCGCATGACCATAACTGGTCTTTATCTTTAAGTCGATCTTTAATCTTTGTGAAACACTCCCCTGGTGTCCACTTACCAGCAATATCTCATTTCCTTGATGACGTCTCGGATGCTCTCAAGAAGAACAGACACTTTATCAAAACGTAGGCCTCGACTGCATGATAGAAACAAATGTGAGGTATTACTTACAATAATTCAATACTCTTGTCCCGTTAAGGAGACTTTTCTATCAAATCCATTCTAACGATGACCTGTGTATATGATTAAGAAAGACAACAAAATGTTGAGAAATTTGCAACCACAAGTTGATTAGACCACTTTTCTTATTTCTTGTTTCCCTTGCTCATTCTTTCCTGATGGAATCGGTCAACTATTCAAATTTCACACACCATCAGTGAGTAAATACCACTTAGTTTCTTTCGTGTGGCTCTCATACACTCATCTGGCAGCATATGATTTTGTGGTTGTAACAAGTCCAAACCAGTCCAAAACCAGTACTAACCAGTATTCATGGAAGTCAAATGTGATGTAGGTCACACCATCAGTACGTAAATACCACTTAGTTTCTTTTGTGGGGTACTCATACGCTCATCTGGCAGCATATGATTTTGCGGTTGAAACCAGTTGAAACCAGTTCAAACCAGTACTAACCAGTATTCATGAAAGTCAAATGTGATGTAGGTTAGCTTGGGGCTGTCATACAGTAGAACATGCTTCATGAAGGCTGAGCCTACGATAGCCTCTCTGCCGGCCTGTTCGATGAGACTGATGATTGCTACATGACGGTATCGCTGCAGGTCCTCCTCAAAGTGCGTCTTGAAAGCTTCCTGGCTCTCATCATCATCTACAATCAGAAAGAAATATGTTTGAATGTAATATTATTATATCATTTTTAAATTATCATTTTTGTCTTGTAACTATAGCCTCGCTGCCTGCTTGTTCAATCAGACTGATAATGGCTACTTGAGGATATTGCTTCAAGTCCTCCTCAAGGTATCTTTGAAAGCCTCCTGGGTTTTATCATCATCAACAGTAAAAGAAAATTTCATCTAAGGTTAATGAGTTAATGAGTTAAAGAGTTTTTTAGTAATTACTGGAAGGGAATCGTCTTTCTTCCGAAAATCAAAACATACTGGAATATGCATGATCCCTTCAGCTTCACATACAATGTGCCATTGACTTATACAGCCAAGTCAGTCTTCATGATTACTTCTAGGAAGAAAAAAATAGTTTTGTAGAACCTGCTTAGAAAGGCCACCTGGCAACCTGTCTATAGTGGCAACTATTTCTGTTTTGCTGGTTTGAACTTAGAGCCTATCTGCACTACTTTGGCCAGGAGGCATTAGACCTCCCTGCATGGTCACTAACAGGCAGTTATCTCTTCAAATCAGCTCTCAATCAACATAAGAAAAAGGGGACCATGGGTGACCAATGGTTACCGCTTAGGTATTGTTTGCTATATAGAGGGCGCAAGCAGCTCCAAGTAGTGCAGTCCCGCTTTAATAGACAGGTTTGACTGTACTTAATTTGCATGAGATTACAGCGACCTACCTCTATCGATTCTTGGAGGAGGTTTGTACTTGATGCCGGGCTGGCTCCAGAAGACCGGTACTGACCCTCGGACTTGGACGAAGGACACCGAGTGTTCTGCAGTCTGTAGGATCTGCTCCGTCTCCACATAGTTAGCACACGCCCCACTCTCATCTATTCCTCTTCTCCTGTATCGGGTTCCTTAAAGATGCAAGCAAAAGAAAGAACAATATCAATTTGTTACAAGTTGTATAATGGAATACCATACAAATGGTGGACCTCAGTAATCATGTTTCCAACCCATCACTCTGCTCCATCCATCTATCTATTGCTACCACCTTCTATTTTTTTCTCATGAAAAGCCATATTTGCCTTTTGACCAAGCTGCTTTTATGAACACCCTAACTTTCTCTTCTCCTTCTTTGATGTGAGTGACACGACCAAGAACCCTACCAAAAAAGGGTTTTCATTTGAATTAGCTACTCACATATCAAGAAAATTGGTGATGCCCACATGGAGCTGAGAAACTGAACATTATACTAAAAATATCTTGTTCTATACACTTTGGTGAAGAATTTTGTAGATTAATGGGCAAGAATACAATCAATCTCTCACAATAACTGAAGTTATTTCTTGGGATGAGGTTTACTTTAATTAAAGCCTATCTGCACTAGTTTAGCTAGGAGGGGTTAGACCCTCCTGAGTGGTCACCGACAAGCAGTTATCTCATCAAATCAGCTCTCAATTAACATAAGAAAAAGGGGACATTGGGGACCAATGGGTACCACTTAGGCATTGTTTGCTATATAGAGGGCGCAGGTAGCTACAAGTGGTGCAGTGGGGCTTTAATTTGACTCACCTGCTCTGAACTTGCTTCTCCTAGAGATGAGCATGAGGTTGAATTTGATGTCCGAGTCATCGCTGTCTGCACCGCTGCCTCCGCTCTGGGCTCCTTCCTCTGGAGCAAATGTCATGCGACACTCCCGAATCTGAACACATCCCTGGACAATGGGGATGATCCATGGCCTTGCTAGCTCTTTGTTCTGTGTGGAAAAAAAGAAGATATAATGATAATAATTTAATAAAAGGTAGATTCTTATATAATACTCAAAAAGGTCTCTATGCGCTTTCTAAATACGTTCACTAGTAAAAGCATTTGAAGGCAATCCAACCCTTCTTGTTCATTTGCATGAAAGCAGAAAAGTAAGATAAACAGAATGGTAAAAGTTTGAAATAAATCCAACCAATAATAAGTTGGGAATGTTTACAATTTGAGACAGCCCTTTAAATTCAGCATAACAAAAGGATTATTCCCATAAAAATGCTCTTCAATTAAAAAATAAACACAGAAAAAGTTCATTCTGGTATACATTTGGGCTACATGTTAATTACTTCCTTGCCTCTTATGATAATTGCTTTTCAAATAGTTTGACATTTCTCATGTCATTTTGCGTGTCCATGAAAATTCTCTTTAATAAATAAATTATATACTCTGGTAGATATATACTTCATTCTGATGCAGATAATGAAATAAATGTACAGTTACACTTCCTATAATATTTACAAGTGCATTTACATTATTTCCTTATTGCTCGGGTTTACTAATTTTGCTGTAATCTTGCTGAAACTAATGACACCTCTTGAGGACACATGAGGATTTTAATAACTCTGAATGAAAAGATGAATGTACTTTACATGTAATAAGTGTGTGGTACATTGTGCTAGTAAATTCTTTTAACAGCAACCTTTACCACTGTAAGTTTCACTATTGGTATCTCCATACCCAATCACATATAGTAATGGTTTAAAGCAGGACTGTACTACTTGAAGCTACTGGCACCCTCTATAAATATAGCAAACAATGCCTAAGCGGTATACCCGTTGGTCCCCCACAATTCCTTTTTCTTATCTTAATTGAGAGATGATTTGATGAGATATAGCCACCTGTCAGTGACCTTGCAGGGAGTTCTAATCCGGCCACCTGGCCAAACTAGAGCAGACAGGCTTTCAAGTAAATTGTTAAACATTTAACTCTGCATATGAAGTCTAATGTGTGGGACCACACAAAAATAGTTTGACTTTAATAGGAAAAATTAATTTTAATTGTGCAACTTATGTATAATTAAGTGTATTTTATATTTTCTTAATCTAACCTTTAATGTTTGTATAGTCAAAGAGAGTGAGAGAGGGGGAGAGAAAAATTCCTAGGAAGATCAAATAATAATTTATAAAATAAATAATGTGGAGTCAGGTAGTGCGGTGTAATACATGTATATGTAACATAGTATAGTGTTAATTTTACATACTATACTGTAGGGTATGTAGAATAAAAGTATGAACATTGTCAGCACCCAGCAATCTTGAGAGTTTTCATCTTCAAGGAACGTGTGTTTCACCATCACCTGACAGAAGAATGTCATCTATTTAAAGACTTTGATTAATTAATTTCCTCAGGATCAATGACATCCTGTTTCCACCATATTGAATCGTCACTCTCATGCTTCCTTGTGTCCTTATATTCTCCAAGCATTAAAGGTACTATGTCCCATTTGCAGGCGAAAAAAATGAAAAGGCTAAATTCCAACGGCATTTGAAAGATAATACTAATTTAGAACTTTCCTTAAAAAAGGGGGCTTGAAAATGTCTTAAAGTGGGAAAATAACGACTATTAGTTGTCAAATTGACTTAGGAGCTATAGAGCCAGTAAGTAATAGTCTGATTTTCAGACCATTGTACCAAATGGTCCTACGTTTTATGCTGCCAATGATTCAATCAGTTTAATTTTGGCCATTACGAGAAGTGGGTTATTGATGTAGACAAATGCTCATGTACCCTTTTCAGCTCATTTGATGTATGTTATTACCAAAGAAGAAAAAAGGCAGTCAGTCACTCAAGAGTGTCTGAAAGTGAAGTCTAGCAAGTAAACAGGTTTCCTTGCATAATTTGAATATTAGGACACGGCTAACGTTTAAATTTCACAGATAGGACATACAAGACATATTCATAATTCCTGCAAAGTTCTACAGAATTTGATGTTGGCTGCAAAAGGGACATAGTATCTTTAATGTGGCTCGGTAACATTGTTGAAGGTTGATGAAAAAAATTGTGTAATTTTTGCATGAAATGTTACTTATTATATTCTTTCTACTGGATTAACTCTCTAACATGCAAACATTCCTGAAATAATTCTCAAACCAAAAAGATATGTATGTTTTTCTTTTAAGGCATCACTGTGCTACACCCTCTAACAGTAAATTCTCCCAACCATTTTTGAATTTTCCCAACCGTTTTCCCATGGAAATAAGACATAAGACAGGCTTTTAAAAATCTTACAACACTTAAATGTCTGGAATGGTATATAGAACCAATTCATTACTTTGTGACGATGACGATTACATACACCTAGAAGGAGATTCAAGGCATTGATCAGATCCGTTTTTTCCAATCTTTATCATTAATAATGGTCTGTTTTCACTCAAACTTTCAGATTATATTTAGTTGTACATCTAACATTGAAGTCACTACCTTAAGCTCATCTGAACAATGTTACCAAGTACCTTTAAGAGGTAATGTACATGTACATGGTGGTTGGGCTTTTGAAAAGCGAGACTTTGATACTTCTTTGTCTGGCAAATACTAGACAAGATTTTCCCAACACTTGAAAATGCAATTATGATGCTTTTACATAGGCTTATGGTTTAAGTGGGATCCAATCTAAAACTCTTTATATTTTTAATCATCTTATTCAATTGCCAATATAAACAAGTTCCATGCAGTGAAATTAAAAAATGTATCAAAGCAAAAAATAGTGGACAACGTGTTTGAACATTCAATGAACTGTCCTGCATGTGAAAGTGTTTTGTAAAAATGTGTACAGATATATGAGTACGTTCAGGGGTCTGTTTGCATACGGCTACTTTGTTTTCACTCCCACGTGACTTTTGATTTACATACTTCTAAACTATATATTCTTATTAATATATTTTAGCCCCAGAATTTTTATATTTCGGGAGGGGGGGGGGGGGGGGGGAGGGGTTTAAAACATCATGTATGACCATGGCCTAATATGGAAGGTTCAAACATCTATTGTTCTGTAAAGAGATAATCACCTGGGTATCTAAGATATCCTGAAGCATGTGCTGGTTCCAGAAGAACCTTTCATCATAACCTGCTCCTTTATGGGTGTGATGCCTCTGGATCGAGTTTGTCAGGTCACCTGTAGGACTGTAGTAAAACCAGTCTGTTGGAGAAGAAGAAAATATATCAAATGAACAGACGGTTTATATAATTACGTATTCAAATTTTATGTATGCTTTTTAAACAAAGGTTGTTCTTGACTACCTGAAAGCTTGCCCAAGGCTTTCCCGACATAGCAACATGTAATATATGCAGACTGGATTATAAGTATTGTAGTTTATTAACTGATAACAGGTTAATGGAATAACTCGACACTAGGTCCCCAGGAAAGAAATATCCATGAATTTGAATATGTTAGTAAGCCGGTCTTTTCTCCTTTGTGCTCAAAATAACACAATCTAATCGTAATACAAAGTGTTGATGTCGGAAAAAGAGTTAAGAAATAGATTTCCAAAATTTTCTTATTTTCAAATATGAATTAATCGAAACACTTTAAAAACAGTTGTAATCAAATTTCATAAAGTTAATAGCAAATGCATCTGCAGTAGTAATTAAGTTTGATTCAGCATATGAATGAAGTACATTGTACATACTTCATGCAAAATAGAACAAAATTGGATGCATTGATGCCCTACCGGTACTTAAATTATGGTATTATTGTTTGGGGTAATACATACGATTCTTATCTTCATAGAATACTTCTTCTACAAAAAAAAGCTATGCGTGTTATTTGTAACACTTCCTGGAGATCTCATACTGACGTTTTATTTGTTGAAAATAATGTGTTGAAAATAAATGATTTATATCGTTATAACCTCGGACAGTTTTATGTACCAGTTAAATAACAATACGCTACCCTCAGCCTTCAATTTAATGTTCATCAAAAATAAAACTAAACACAAATACCCTATGCGCCAATCTGACGAATTTCATCTGCCATTAACTAGAACTTTACTTGCTAAATCCATATTCACTTACGCAGGCCCGATGCTATGGACCATTCTTGATGTTAGCATCAAGAATGCTCCCAGTTTAAATTCTTTTAAATTCACAATAAAAAAATCCTTTTTGCGTAATTATCAAGCGTTAGCTCTCCCTCTTTAAATTTATTTAACTCAATAAAATACATTTGTATATTTTGATTCATTTTGTACTGGCCATCCGTATTCCAGTCGGTCCGTGTTGTGTTGTGTGTGTTATAGGTAAGAGCCCTGCCCTCCCTCGTTCCTTGTCTCCCTTCTTTCCCTGTCCCTTTCACTCCTTCTATGTTATGTCTATTTGGTTTATGTATTTGTGCGTTCTTTTATTATTGATGTACTATTTTTGCAACTGTAAGTTATAGGGGGCTGCAATCTACAAGCCCAGCTTTTCAGCAGTCCCCTCCATGACCAACCTGTGTTATATGCCTGTTGTACACTGTGGACCAATTACAAATATATTGTTAAGTTTCATTGTTTTACTATGTACAATGCAATCCCATGTACTTTATTTATTTTGTTGGAAATGGAAATAAAAAAATAAAAAAATAAAAAAACAAACTGCAGTATGTACTGGACACATGGACATGTAGAATGTATAATATTCCTCCAAAGTCCAAAGTCCAAAGTTGTATCAACATAACTCACATTCAAAATATGTTGTTATAAATTAATGAATAATTAATTTCAAATCTCATGAATATAACAAAAATCAATATGCATATTAAATCACATTAAAGCATTACAAAATATGTCATAGGAATGCACCTTATAACATTGCATGAGTTCTTTGAAAAATCAAAAAGGCTACATGTTAAATTGGGTTGCAAAAATTACAGCAAATAGCTATTGAAACAAATGAAGTTTCTCAAACTATCTGTCTATCTGAAGTGATGAAAATATCTGTCTTGGGCAAAGGACAACTTCTTTAGAAGCCTACATTTGTGTAACAAATACTAACCCTAAGCCCTACACACATGTAATACATGTACAATAAACAGGTTCTACCAATCTCTCCAATGAAACCCATCTACCCCCCCCCCCCCCTCTCCCCAAAAATAAAAAATACAAAAAAATAACTAAATAAATAAAAAATAAATAAAATAATAATAATTACAGAATTATTTGCATACAATCAATACTAACAAGAGGAGTATCATTTTTTTTTGTCACCTTTTAATGATGGGAATAAAAATCCTTGAAAGGAATGGTTATTTTGAAGTGATGTATTCAACATGTATCTATTTTGTATAAATATTATCTTACATATGGTTATATTGAAGTGAGGTAATCGATACTATCTCTTTTTTTATAAATGTACATGAAATAAATGGTTATATTGAAGTAATGTACTAACAGCGTATCTATCTTTTTAAAATATATATATCATCATCCATATTTTACAGGTTTTATTTTTTCAGATCCTTTGAATGTGACCATCCCACTTGTGAGAATACAAGTGAAACATGAAATGAAATATGCCATATAGTACATATTCATTGACAAGATATATCACTTTCGTATCATCTTACCTCTTTGGGATAAGAGCTTCATAAAGAAAGAGAAAGTGATGCAACCTCTACATGTACTTTTGTTAACCCTCTTAAATACTGGTAGAAATTTATGTAAACACCTCAAAAATGTTTGATCAATTACTTACTTCACTTTGTTCAGTATTATTAGACAATTATGTTTATTCCTCTTTAAAATGATACCATATCCATTATCATTTTGTACCCATGGAATGAGCACTACATCGGAATAAGGGGCAGAGTAAAAAGTGAAAAGTTTCAAAATGCACTGGTGAGCAGTGGTATTGTTTATATGCAGTGCACTGAACAGCAGCCCAGTACTCTTCTAAGAAATAAGATTGCACAAGAACAGTGCATTTTGCAACTTTACCCTTTTTACCCACCCTATATTTGATGTACATTGTAATGCACATTCCATGGGTGCAAAATCGTAACAAATGGGGTATAATGTTAAAAGAGGAATAAACACACTTTCTAACGACACTAAACAAAGTGATAATTATACCATGAGAAGAGAGATGTAATCAATCAAACTTGAGTTTCAAAACTTTTTTGAGGGATTTGCAATACGTACATCTATCCCTATTCTTTGAATCCGACCTGCAACATGAGAGAATTGTAAATCCCCTAATGAAGTGTGTCATTCAATACATGATTTCAAAAAAGAAAAGAAGACATACCAGATGCCTTGGCAAATTGTCAAAAGTGAACTTGCCTTTCGGTTTTTCCCACTCAAGTTTACGTTCTGAGAAAGTCCCAGCAACGCCCCTTAAGAACTTTCTGTGCAACTATTCCTCTTGATCACAAAAACATCTTAGACATTTTCTATGACAAAGTGGCAAGTTACTCACGTTTTAATAATTGAGATTACACAAAAGTTCAATTGAAGAAAAAAAAGTATTAAAATGAAAAATGACCAAAATGAAAGCTCACGTCATGAGGTTAAAGCAATTTTTTAGCATTAAATAATTGTTACCTTCCTGTAAAATGAATACACATGATTTCTGGTCAGCTAAGAGTAAGACTATAAGCTCTAGTTAAATTTCAGCTTAATTCTTAAGGTTAATCCACTTTGAAAATAATCTAACGCTCATCTAATACTCAATTTTTTTTAAAAGTCACAAATCCATTAAATCTTCTACAGATTTTCATTTTCAGGTAAATTTCATATTGAAATGCAGCAAATATCATGAATAAACTTTCGATCGTATGTTTTTCCAGGTCTTCATATTGTGATCTCAACATTGAAATCATGAGATATTTTAATTTAAAGTAGATTTGTTAAAAATCCAAACATCTGTGGTTATAGCATTTCCTGCCAAAACTGAACAGAAATGCAATACAATACATAGCTATTTATATAAATTTCATGCTAAGTTTTTAAGATAGGTCCCAACCCACATTTATCTTTGACATGCTGGGAGACACAATTAAGAGAACAGCAAATGAATTTGAAAAATCCAATCTACAAAATGGCAAATACATGCACCGTTGATTAAAATGTTATGAATTATTGATGTTGCCGAATGATTGTTCCTGTTGCCCTTTCAACATCGAGGGCAATACAAAAGGGAACAAAAATGGGCACAGCGCAGCCTTTCTACATCAGCTGTCAAAACCAGCCATGACTTTCTCCAAAGATACCTCATTTCTGCTCAAGGGACTTTGATGAGATGTGGAGCAATATCAAGGATGGGATAAGGTCGTCCAACTTGATTAAACTCAGGCTGTTCCTTCACCAAACCCACATTCAGACTACCAACATTTATCATATGGCTATATATACAAGAATCGTATAAAAATGTAGTTATACAGTCAAACCTACTTTAACGACCACCTGTCTGCAAAGACCACATTTTTTGTTTTCCTTGAAAATGGTTTCTCATTGAAAAATGTACTAAAGGAACCTGTACATAAAGATCACTTGCCCATAAAGACCACTTTTCTTGTCTCCATTGGGTGGTCTTTACAGACAGGTTTCACTGTATATATATATATATATATATACAATAAATAATTACATTTTTCCAGTCTGAACATCGCATAAAGAAACGTGTAACAAAAACGTTATAACAGAATGCAAGTTTGAGCATCGTTTCAAATGAAAACTTGATAAATCATCTGGGTCACGCTCTAGTCATGACATTGTATCGTACAAATGTTGTATACCGGGTAACTGGATGGGGCTAAGCGTGAGTGAACACCAATGATTGGCCAGCTGTTATGTACACTGACCTTGTCAAAATTAGTTTCTTTGTAGGACATTTCTTTGAACATTTCTTTATATGAGGTTTCTTTATACAACTTTCATATAAATTTCCTTTAGTGTGAACGGGTTACAAAAAAAACATGCCTCCTTGCACAATAAAGATGGGAGGTGTTTACACAGAATCGAGGCTATTTACCCTGTGGATTACTGCCCTTCCATCTCTCTCCAGTGCAATCCAAATGGGAAAATGCTCCTCATTATTTCGAGGACTTGCATGTCTCGAACAGTCGAGTGTCGCTAGTGCGTGTGACGTAGAAACATGCTTCATTAAAGTTGGAAGCTAGAGCTGAGCTAGAAAACAGACTGCTTCATGTACATGAGGGACACACCCACTCATTATGTTGGAAACATTAACTACAAATCCAGAACAACATGAAGGTGTAGTGAATAGGAAGGCTGGGGTTTTAAACTCCCCCCTCTTTGGCCCGAATTCACAAAGAAGGTTCGTCGACAAACCTTGGTTTTTGTATGTCATATGACGCGTTTTACACATTTTTTACAAACCTGGTTTGTAAAGAACAAAAGGAGGTTTGGCGAAACAAAAGGAGGTTTGACCTCAAACCTTGGTCTGAGCTCAAACCTTGCTTTGTGAATTTGGGCCATTGAGTTTATTTTTTATTTTTTTGTACTTAAATGATCTAAAGACTTACAGCACTATCTTCAAGCTTCAATTTTCTCATTTGATACTATGGAGAAAATAAATTCCCCCTCCCTCCCCCCAAAAATGTATGACCCACTTTCTCATTTAGAGAGACTGAAAAAAGGAATACCGGTAGCTATCTCACACCCCCCCCCCCTCCACCCCCTCCTCCCCACCAATGACCAAATTTTGTTAAGTTACATGTAGCTAGTAAAATGCATGATTCTGTAGATCTGAGAGGCTTTTGGGCTATAAACAAGTACCGGGATGTGTCTGTGGTTGATTTTTTTTCTTCTTCAATAACATCATCTGCAGAGAACACGAAAAGCATGAACTTTGAGTTAAAAGGTTATGATTATGAGTTCATGACTCCTTCTGGCTCCATACAGATGCTATTGATCTGTCTATCAACAAATGCTTTCACAGTAATGCACACATTTGCGTATATACAGTCATATACACAGGGTGATAAAGTCTAGCCGGTCTGTCTGTTTTGCCATTATTGACTGATGATGATGAATCATCCTGTGTAATAACGTCATTCATAAGGTGTCCAATTTGATGTATGAATGGTGATCAATAAACATTTACTCTGCACGTACAGTGTACATGTACTCATGTAGTAATATTTCACAAGCCTCGGAACGGACCATTTCAGAAATACCGTATATATCATACACGGATGACATTTTGCATTATTATTACAATAACTGTAGTTTACAGGTTATTACTTTCTATGTTGTTTTGTTTTTCTTTGTCTTTAGGTTATTGATTTCATGTTTTGCTGCTAGCGGTAGGTCGTTATCACCTTTGCATATATATATATACATGTATATTTGGTAAACAATTATGTAAAAGACAAGGATTTCTCTCTTTATCAAATACTAAAAGAGAGAATGGAATGTGTTCTACATACATGTATCTAATTTGAGTAGTTCGTACCAAGTACATTCAAATGTTTTAAGTCTTTGGCATTTTTATGGTAACATCTAACATTTAGCATTTTTACATGTACGCCCTTCTGCAAGCCAAAAAAGGATATATTCTGTCCTTTTTATCTGATTCAGTGAGAAAAAAGTGAAAAAATGGAATTGAATTGAACTGAACTGAACTGGGGACAAATGGCAAGCTACACCCAGGCTATAGACCTTTAAGCAAGCATCAAGCCTTGCACAAGTCATTACTCTGAGGATGTGCTCTCCTCATTAAATCTACATGATGACTCACTGAACTGTACTGTGTATACCGAGTCTTTACTGACACCTGTAAAATATTATCTCTTACACTTAAAAGAGAATTTATAGCTCAGGGAAGATAGGGGGAGGGGTCACATTTAGTCAACTACAGTATACATGCTATTTAAAGGAGAAAACTGTTTCTTCTCAAAACAAAAACAAAATCAAAGTTTGTGAGTTCAAATCTTTGCCCTCGCTCATCATCATCATCATCATCATCATCATCATCATCATCATCATCATCATCTTCACCATCATCACCATCATCACCACCACCACCTCTACAATCATAATCGTCAGAAAATGTGCATACACAGTATTATATATGTCACCTATACATCATTCCTATATGTGCTATAGTACCAGCAAAGTGCAAACACTTTCAAGGTATTTTTTAAAGTGTTTACTTTACAATTACGATAAAAATATTTTTTCAAAGCTCCGGTGAGGTCCACAAAACTAGATCTTTCTCAATTTGAATAGCAAAAATCAAGAATGAACCCTGTGAAACTGAATTCTGAACAGACAGACTGCAGTGATGAAAATGTTTCAACTTCTCAAATTAGACATATCTCTTCAAACTGACCTACATGTATGTGTACTTGCACTTTAAAATTCAGCTTACCGGACTCTGTAAACATGCGATTCAGCTCCTCCAGAATCCGCCTCTCAAGTTTCTCCCGCTCCTTTACCTCTTTCTGAAACAAACAGGAATACAAAATGAAACAGATCACGGATCTGAGAAAAGATAGGGTGTGGGGAAACTGATAAAGGTTCAATCACATATGCCACAGTATTAAGCCTACCGGTACGCTGTCCATTTCTGTGATTTGTTTTCTTTTTCTCTTGTAAACTTGATGTTTTTTGTAACTCAAGAATGAAAGGTGTACCTACGAACTGTAGTTGAATTAGGGCCTTTGTTGAATACTGCTAGATGTAAGCTTTTAATTTGTCACATTCTCAAGAAACATAAATCGAGACAAATCGATTTTTCACATACCGGTACTTAAAAATTACAAAACTTGGTTAGGGTATGATGATTTAGTTTCGAACTGTGTGATGATTAAGTTTCAAACTGTATGTATCTATGTACAAACATCCTGTGATGAAATTAATTTCATACAAATTTTATTTATTTCATTTATTCTTTTTGTGTCACAGATCTCTTCAGTGTTACAAAAAAAATCTTAATCACGGGCTAAAGCTGAAGATCAAAAGTTTTTTCATTTTAATATCTTCCTCTCTTCATTACCTGTATACATATAAGAGGAAATGACCTAAATTACACTGTAACAAATTTCTTTAATACCCCGTTCGCCCCAAGTTGCATGGCAAATCAACTAAATGAAGAAAGAAAGCGGGAGTGCGGTGCTGCAATTGGCAAAGTAATCAAACAAGATTGGAGAAAAAGCGGAGAAGTGATCCGCATGAATATTGCATTCTCGCGTATGATAGGGGTTGATGGAAATTACATTTACGTTAATAATGCAAAAGCCACTGGGGATAATTGAATTGGTGCATGTATAATTTGTGTTAGGTATATTACATTCGTGTAAGGATGCACGGATCTTACATTCGTTACAAAAAGCACAGCATTCCGATATGCTCTCTTTGGCGATGCTCAATGCTGACATGATTTACACAGGTATCTGGGGGGCATTTCACAAAACTTGTGATCAGTGACAAATGACAGTTTTTGTTATAAGCTACTGAAATCCTTGCCTCTGATTGGTTATCAGCAGATTTGTCACTGATTTTGTTCATTTGTCATTGAAAAAAGGCTTTGTGAAACGGCCCCTGTATTTAAAAAATACATCGCATCCTGTAAATCAAATTGGTTAATTAACTGCATCTAACTCAATTATTCTCCTCATGCATTGAAGTAATAAATCATACCTGCGCTATCTCTCTAACTGTACTAAGTCCATGATGACAGCACTCCAATTAACATGTTTTTCAGGCAAAACAATATATCATGTCATACCTCTCGTAAAGATGATGTTTTTCTTAGTTTTTCGTAACTCAAGAATGAAAGGTCGACTGGCTGAATTAGGGCCTTTGCTGAATACTTTAAGATGTAAGCTTTAATAGGTCACACTCTCACGACACTTCAATTGGGGCAAATTCATTTTTCACATACCGGTACCCTACTTAAATATTACAAAAGTTGGTTTATTAGGCTATGAATAATTTAGTTGTTGACTGTACATGTATGTGCATTTTAATGTTGGTGCCAGTATAATTAAGATTTTGAGCAAGTTTTTCTTTGCATCATTAGGTAAACATTTTTCTAGTCCAAACAAAAAAAAACTGTAAGAGAATTCTTATCATATATGTTTTACTGATATATCAAACAACATGACTTTAAGATATTTCTGTCGATATGTAGTTTAAAATGTGGTTTCAGGATAAATACAATTCTGTGTATATTGAAATATTCTAGCTCATTACTTACCCACATAATCATACCTGATATTACCAGTATACCCCATTTATTAACTTTAAATGACTAGAGAATATTGCTTTCCATCTGGTATTGTTTTTAATAGATAATGAATATATAGATTTTAGTAATTTATTATAAGAATTATTCTGGTTACTACTAGTTATTTAGAGCCAGTTCATTCTTCTGCATGTTTGTTTAATTTTCTTTCTTTCTTTCATTTTACCAAATATTCATTTCTTTATGATTTCCTAGCATTACAAATTTCAAATAAGTATGCTTCCATTTCTTGAATAATTAATAAATAGTTAAAAAAAAATAAACAAGTGAAATTCAATACTGAAATTACCTTTTTGACCTGTGCCACTGACTTGATGCTATTCCATGTTTTGGCAAGTGATTTCTGTTGACCTTCTGCTGGACCTAGTATCAAGTTAGCCTTCTGACGGATCCCAAAGTGGTGCTTATCACATCTCTGAAACAAGAAATATAAAAAGAAATACATGATAAAACACAGGATAGAGAAGTTCTAAACATTTGAAACAACTATATTGTAACAATCCATTGAATAAGTTTTAAAACCTTGTTTTAATTTTTTTATTCATTTAAAAAATTTTTTTTTTACTTGTTCAGTTCGAAAATTCTAGGTGAATTCTTATGATTTTAAAATTCACAAGTAATATGAAGAAAGACAAAATTTCCTTATAAAAAATGACCTAAGAGCTACCTTCTATGTCATTCTGTACCAAAGTATATGAAATTTAATACTTCATAAATTTGATGAATGGTTTAATGGAAACCCACATGTTTTGAAAGTAACTCATATTTCTTAATATATCATATCGTGAATTTAAAGATTTTAAAAATAAAAATGTGTATAATATTCTTTAATATTCAAATGAGAAAACTATCTGGAAATGTCAGTCTGCAATGCTTGGAGTTGATTGAATATAACACCTACTTTCATTCCAAGTTTTGTTCTTTTACTTTATTACAATTATCAAAAGTATTTAAATGTTCTGAATCAGTGTCTTATATTACATTCTCTTTTGTTAATGCTGTTTCTACCATCTTAAAAAAATCCTGCTGTTCTAAGTCACTCCACAGGCCCAAACTGCCTTTTAAAATAAAATGCACACCCACATACAAATTTGTACCAATCTATATGCCGTCATGAAATATGATGAATCCACTCAATCATCATACATAATCTTTATGCCTTTGATAAGAAATATCACAAGTATCACCACAGCTTTTATTTTTTGCCAAAATATACAATAATTTCAGATGGGATCTATCTTGATAAGCACTGTGGGATAAATAAAGATGTATGAGCTGCCTGCATAATTCATCCAATGCATACAGACTTAATGTGAGTGCATTGAGGATGACTAATATGTGCTGCATGGTATATGTATGAAGACATCTATCATCATTTTGAAATACATTATTCAAAGTTGAAGGACTGTTTATCATCTACATAGATCTTGGAGATATGCAGTAGTTAAAGAGAAATCCAACCATGATATTCTAGAGGAAAGCGGAAAAATCAAAGAAGTAAACTGGTGAAAGTTTGAATGAAATCAGACCCAAAAATATGAGAGTTGAGAACTTTTGAAAGATGCAATCCCTGGAGGTATGGGCTCTTCAAATTGGCAGAATCGGTAATGTCTCTCTTATGTATTGATGGACAATATGATTTTTTGTTTCTCTTTAAAGGACATATAATGGTATGCTACCCACTTTATATTTTGACTAGTGCCCCAAGGGAGAAGGCACTTAAAAGCAAAACAGAAATTTATGTTATTTTTGTACACTACAAACATGAGAGTTATCGCGACTACCTCGAAATCCACTGAATGAACTGCCAACTTGAGATTCACATAGACTTAGTGATCTCATATTTCAAACATTCATAACTTTCTTATTATCCGTCCAATTTATATCAAACTCTTGCTTTTATATTTCTCTTATTCATACAAATGAACTTATTACAACGGTTGGATTGCCCTTTAAGTAGTCCCTGGGATGTACATTCTGCATAACTTTCCAATATAACTATTTATGTGCATGAATATTCTGTCGCCCACGGCTGAGTGTTTGTATATGAATGTACCTCAGTGACTCAGCTGCACACAAATGAATTCATACATGCAGTTCATCATTCAATCCTACCTTCTTTGTGCTTGATACAAGACATTTTAAGTGAAGATGAAACAAGATCGCAAATACTTTTGAAAAATCAATCCAAAGGAATTTTAATAGCCTAACTATAGTGCGTCACCTACTGAAAAGTGTGTACATGACAATAGTGTATTACGTACATTGTAATCCAAACATGGTTTCTATGGGATGCATGCACAATAGGGTATTGAAATTGCCCTTGAGTACACTTTTGTGAAAAATAGTTGCGATCATGTTATAAGTGCTTTGCCAATTTGAATATTACAGTGCACTGCCATGGCTTTGACCCAAAGCCTTCTTATCTTTAAGTGTTTAAACTATTGGACTAGCTAAGTATAAACCTTCAACAACTTTTTTAAATTCATTCACTGCATGTCAAAGGACAATATGCAGGGAAGAGATTATTTCTTGCTCATTTACCTTACATATGGTAAAAACATAAATACGAGCACATATGGAATATGGAACATCTTGGAGTGGATGACATGTTAATGAACCATATGTTTGCATTCAAGCAAAGTACATGTACTTTTTCCCCTCTATCTCAGTACTCCACAATACCTCTCACTTTGAGGGCTTTGAGTTCTTGCCATTTTTAAAATGACACCAGTCTGGTGACAGCCAAACTCTCCACATGAGATAACTTTTTTCTAATGTTTAGCTTCTATTTAAATGAATGTACTTTTAAAAGAAGATATCTTTTCATAAGACTAAAAAATGTGTGCAAAATGAAATATCACTACTAGAATAAAAAGTCCAGACTCTTACAAAGTGAAAACATCATGGGAATACGTACATGCAGCCCGTGAGACTGGGATATGAGGTTAGTTTCAATTTCTTGTGGTAGCTGAACTGTTAAAGAGCCAAGATATAATTCACACATGTATCAGTACTATGACACAAACTTTTGCGACAACTGCTCCATAGTTTTGTACACTAACCAAGTTCCTACAAACTATCTCCCACTTTGAGAGCTTTGAGTTCAGTCTTGCCATTCTCACAATGACACCTGTCCGATGACATTCAAACTCTCCAGGTGAAAATCGTGAGATAACTGCTTTCCAATGTTTAGCTAGAAATGAATGTACTTTTAAAAGAAGATATCTTTTCATTAGACTAAAAAATGTGTGAGAAATGAAATACCACTACTAGAATAAAAAGTACAGACTCTTGCCCAGTGAAAACATCATGGAAATAGACATCTCAGCTCCACAAATCACAAATATCAATTGTATAACACATGGTCTTAAGACAATTGCTCCACAATTATCCACACTAACCAAATACCCAACATTAAACGAGCAGCCTTTTCACACACAGCTAAAATTCATCGTATCTAGAGATGATTAGAATCATTCAACAGTTTTAAACATGTTTATAGACAAAATTTCCCAGTGTGAACATCGTTTATACGATGTTGGGACAGATACGAAGTCGCGATCCATACGCCCCTAAAAGCAGGCTGCAGATACGAAGTTCGTATCTAGAGAGCTTGACATTTTGTGTGTGAAAGGAAATTCGTGTTTAAACGTGTTTAAACTGGATGGAGCGTGCGCTTTGATTGATATGACATGACCTTCAATGCGCAATGGCACTACTGCGCATTTTACGAGCAGTAGTTAATCAGGAAACTATGAACGATCGCAACGAAATTTCTGTGTGTGAAAGGCTCGTGATTAGTTTAAACACGTTTCAAAAACGTTTATACTAATCATGTTTATAGAATTTTAGCTGTGTGTGAAAAGGCTGCTTGTCCAAACACTCCATCTCAGACTCACTCTAAGTTTAACCTCAAAACAAATTGTGACCCTAATTAACCCTGATACTATACTTTTGACAAAATAATTACCAGAGCAATTGTAGCTGGAGCAAAATGTCGGATCGTCACAATCTTGCAAGATTTCGTAAGCGACATGTTGCATTTGATTGTCTCATGAACTTTGTGATAATCAATTGTTGAGATGATTCAACAATTGAACATATATTATAAGTGGATGTTCAGGATACATGTATATTTTAGCAAAATATATTTCATTTGGCAAATTTTTCATACAGGCTTATTTTGCCTTCTAACGCAATAGGAAAATTTTGAGCTTTTGGAATCCATGTCAGTCCTGCGGAAATCATCCCCCTTAGTGACGGAAATCTATGAGTTCAAGCTTAAGGACTGTAACACAATAACACAAATCTTTTCTACCACAAGATACAGGTAATAATTATGTGAATATCATTATTGATTATTCACGTAGGCCCCGAAAGGTTAGCCCCTAGCTCAAGCTGCCATGTGAACTCAACCTCGGCGGCTAGGTGGACTTCTCAGGGGTTCGTTTTACGTCACCACGCAATTTGAGATATTCTACGGAGTGCGGCTAAAAATAGAAAGTGCAGTTGACGGCCGACTGCAACAGGCAGTGATGAACTTGTTTACGTGCGCTTCATGAACATCCAGATTGGAGCACCTTTTCAATAAAAATGCAATATTTGGTTCGTTTTTATTAGCTCTGTGAATTTCTTTGTTTCAGGCATGATGATAGTATTGGCTTCTCTTGTAGGAAGCCATACATGTTCATGTAGGAAGAGAGAGAGAGAAGGTATTTGGAGAGGGAGTGGGTATATGTAGTATAGGTACCACATACATGTAGGTTAATTGTGTCAAGATGTACATGTATGTACTACAGCAAAGGGTATGATATAGCATTTCTGTAGCATTCCTAAAGCCAACCACTTCAGAGAAAAACATATAAATAGTAATGTATTTTTATATACATAAAACATAAAATAAAACTTCAAACCTTTAAAACAAAAAATGGAAAGTTTTAATCTGACCAAACACCCAAGTTCAATGCTATAAAAAATACCTCCAATGGCATGATTAACATAAAGTTTTTGATAATGTTAGAATAAAAGGTCAATGCTTGTAGATGCAAGTGCATTTTATTTCACCCTCATTCATATTCAGTTACAACAAAATTAAAAGAAGAATGTAACATGGTTAGTTCTAAATATACATGATGCATTGCATAATATATGTGTACAAGAATCAAAGCAAGATAATCAAAACAACTTAATTACGGTAGCCTAATCCCTACTTCAAACTAAATGAGATAATGGTCATGGATACATGTACAGTACATGTATGGTACATTTTGTTTTTAGAAACAATTGTCATTGGCTCAAAGATCAATGTATAAAAGTTAAAGCTAATCTTGAGCTCTGGAATGGGCATCGTATGTCGAGAGAACATGGCTATAATTCATTCTGGATTGTTTATCCTGCAGTAGATTGATTGTT